TAGGGGCAAGGTGGGGACCTCAATCCCCATTCTCAACCCCGACCCCGACCCCGACCTCCACCGGGGATTCCTAATAATCCCCGACCCCGCCCCTGCATCGCCAAAATAATCCCCAGCCCCAGCCCCATCGGGTTGGGGAAGTCGGGTCCTTGTTGAGGATGGGGAAAATTGTCATCCCTAAAAGTGTGTTCTAATAAATGACCCTAATAAAAACACATAGGAATATACAATTGTTTTATATTTTTTAATTTTTTAAATAATTAATAATTATTTAATATTTTATATACTACTTTTAATAATTTTTTTTATAATAAAAAAATAACAATAATTAATTTCAGTTAGGTTTATTTATCAAACTGATGAAACCAACCAACCAGATTAGCTCAATCCGAGTTGGTCGGTTTTCTAGTATTTTAGGTTGGCTTTGGTTAAAAAATTTCCCAATTTGACCAAGTTGGATCAGTTTCACTTTGACCATTTATAAACCGACCAAAATCGAACGACCTAACCATGGATATATATTAATATTTTATATTTTAAATATAATTTTTAATATGAAAAAGTGAGAATTTTCCCATACTTCTTAGTTTAAAATGTTTTATATCATAGATCTAATTTTTAAATTTATTTTTAATAATTACACCATAATTTTTAAAATTAAATTAAATTTTTAAGTTTAAATCTTTTGAACAGATTAACCAAACCAAAAAAATCGACCCAAACCGATACAACTTGAGTGGGTTGGTTTTCACAAAAGGTTAGTTGGTTTCAGCTAACCAACTCCCTAACCTGACTAGGTCAATTTTGTGGGCCAAATAGCATACGATTAAATCGAACCAACTCATGAACACTCATAATTTCAACTAATTTAATAGTCTTATCTCTAATAAATAATAATAGTTTAATCTCCAATAATTATTGAAAATTTATAGCAAAAATACACAATTATTGAAAATATGTTGATAATGAGAAATACAATAATTACAGAAATTAAGAAAATACAATAAGTACTAAAAATATATTAACTTAGTCAATAAATAGTATAATCTCAAATAATAGTTTAATCTCTAATAAATATTAATCAATAACTTATAACAAAAATACAATAAATTAAATTTATAAATTTCAATAATAGTAATTTAATCTCCAATAATTATTGAAAGTTCTCTATTAAATAACAAAACAAAATAAATTTATACATAATCATTGAAAATATTTTATCACAAAAGATAATAAATATTAATCTTAGTATATATAATTATATAATAAATACATATTAAGAGTTTAAAATTATTATTAATAAATATTTTTTTTGAAAGTTATTTTCTAAAATTATTACTTGATATAAGTGAAATTAATTATTTACAATATTATGTAAAAATATTAAATTTTTATTAATTTCAATATTATGTTATAATTATTTTTCTAATTTTTAGAATTTATTACATAATTTCTTTATTTTAACTATTTAAAATCTAGTTATGTTAAATATTTTATTATTTAAAATATTTAGTTATTTAAATACTTAAATACTATGTAAAATATTAATTATTTATTGAATTTGATTATCCATAAAATCATAATTTATACTACTATTATTACATAATTTCATTATTAATTTTGGAATATATTAAATTATTATTAATTTCAATATTATGTTATAATTATTTTTCTACTTTGAAGAATTTTTTAAATTTATTACATAATTTTGTTAGTACATAATTTCGTGATATGTTTTGTAAAAATATAAAATTAGTTTTTGTGTTTTCAATAAACATTTTTAAAGGTATTATATAATTTTGTTAGAATATTTAAATAATTCTTAAATTTTTAATCAAAACTTTCTTTAGATAAATATAAATAAAAAGTAGGGGAGAGGATAAATAAGAATTAGAGATAATTTAGGAGAGAAACTCTCCAGTAAATTAGAGATAGTTTTGGAGATAAATAGGAATTAGTGATAATTTAGAAGATAAATAGAAATTACAAATAATTTTGGAGAAAGTGGGGAAGGTAGTTTAGGAGTAATTTTAGGAGAAAAGATTATTTATGTTATTGAGAAAATGCATTAATTATTTCAAAAATGACATTAAATAAAAATAATAAAAAATAAAAAAATTTCTTGACCGCGGAGGTGAGATTTGGTTTCCAGTAAACGTCATTGATTGCAAGTTGGTACAAGTAAATTTCGTCACCTTGGTTCTATTTGTCACCTTTACAATTGTAGTTTTTAGTTTACGGTACAGCGCCAAAAATCACGAAATCAAAATCTTTGATATATCTTTGCAAAATTGCAATATTGTGATCCTATTAATACATCAAAGAAGACCATGCATGATTCCCTGTATACTAAAATCATTCCCCAGATAAAGTGGAATCTTTAGCAGGAATCTCTCCTCTTATCTTCTTAGGGCCCATTTGTTTTTTTGGGGAATGGAGGTCTGGATTTGAAATTGGAATTTGATTCTAATTGTTTGATTGAGTAAAATTGGAATTTCATTCTTATTTTTGGTAGAGTGATATTTTTTCATTTGAGGGAATGACCATTTTTTCCCATTTTATTGGGAATAAAATCATATTTTAGTTGATTCCAATTCCCATTCTGAATCTTTTGAATTAAACAGATTATGGGATCGGATAGATCATTTTGATTCCAATTCTGATTTTGTCTGTAAATCAAACAGATCGTTATTTCCTACAGCGTGGTTTTCAAAATCGAACCGGATGATTGGACTAGAAAAACCGGGAATCGGTCACCTGACCGGTTCGACCATTCGAACCGGTAATCAGACCCCTGACCGATTTGATCATCAATTCAGTTTTAAAAACCATGTTCTATAGGGCTAGTCATTGGCTCGGTTGTGTGACTTTTTTTTATTATTATTATCTTGTTGGACTAAAACCTCGCTACTTATCAATTACAGTTACACCACGAGGATGTTCATAGCACTGTTTTCAAAACCAGGCCGAACCGGACGGTCGGACCGGAAAAGCCGGGACCGGTTCTGTTTTTTTCCAGAACTTCTTTTCCCCTCAAAACCATTGATTTTAGTCATTAAACCGTTGAACCGACCAATTAATCGTTTGAACTGTTCGAACGGTTTTGACCGTTTTCCAAATTTTTAATTTTTTATTTCTTTTTATCAGAACGGGCTAACCGTTCAAATCGAACAGTTGGACCGATAATCGGACCCCTGACCGGTTAGGTCACCGGTTCGTTTTTAAAAACCATGGTTCATAGGTAATGGGATTTGCTCTCTATCGACTAGCGCATCTCTTACCCTAAAGGTACCTCCTCTGTTCTGTGTAATTAACGCGAGAATTGGTTATATTAATACATTCTAATTTTCTGATACTCATATCAATGAATTCACTTTTATAATCATATAAGATGTCACTTCATTTAATTCAAGATGAAATACAGAAATTGGGGTTTACTACTTATAGATCGCTTCTCACATGGATTTCATAGTCTGTATTAATAACATTTTATCATGAACAATATAACATACAAATACCGGAGATATTTTCTCCGGATCATAACAATACATTTTAGTGATGTGCAATGGTATTGTGACAAAAAGTGATTTGCACGTCAACATGATGTATTGATGACCTACAAACTCCTATATTGTGTGTGTGATTGTGTGAAATCCATACGGCATAAAGTGTGAATACATATCTTGATTTTTGACTCATTTACCAAATAAAGAAATATTTTTTTATTCTGATTTGCTGGGACATTTCCTTGTTATTTCGTATCACCCAATTAACACATTTTCAAAAACTCCCCATCCCTCATCTCTGAATTGTCCCATGTCCATATATCGGATTTTCTTGTGACTTCTTCTGAATCTCATTGTCTACGGTTTTCTTGGTCGTCCATTTGCGCTTCTTGCTCTCTCTTTTTTTTCTGTTTTTTTTTTCTTGGGGTTTCTTATTATAGCCTTTAATTTTGACTAATTCGTCCTGCCTGACTTCTTTGGGCTTAGAAGTTGACAATGGAACGGCAGGTTGTGCATCTTAATTACGCCTCATACGTTTTGTCTCAAAATCTTCATTCATTTTTTCTACACAACTTGCCCAAGGCCAATAAGGCCTATCGTTCCTAAATATCTCGGCTACGGCTTTTGGACCTCGAAGTTTATATAAAAGTTCTTCTATTCCTTTACAAGTTACGCGTGATTAAGTATAAACAGATTTTATTTTTTTGCTCTCAGTTTCCCATTTTTTTATAATCACTTTGATTAATTTAAGCATTAAAGTGCCTAACCCGAATCTAAATTCTTAAATACTAGTAGGAACATGGGCGATCTGAGAACCATCAATGCTGAAATAAAATACCATGTTTTTAAAAACGAATCGGATCAGGGGTCCAATTATCAGTTCGAACGGTCCAATCGTTCGACCTGAATGGTCGGCCAATTCTGAAAAAAAAATAAAAAAATTTAAAAATTTAGAAAACAGTCAAAACCGTTCCAACGGTTCAAATAGTCAACCATCCGGTTTAGCGGTTTACCGACTAAACTCAACGGTTTTGGGAAAAAAGTGATTTTAAGGAAAAACGAAACTAATATGTAACCGATTCCCAATTTTTTCGGACCAACCATCCGGTTCGATCCGATTTTAAAAACCATATAAAATACCATTGGACCATAAAGTATTACATTGACCATCATCATAGCAATTTAACATAACCTCAAATGAAAAAAAAAAAAAGTGATACAACCAAAACTTAATCTCCACTCAAGAGACACCATGTGGCACTGAGGTGGAGGCAAAATGGGAATTTCACCAATTTGCCACCATGATGAACCACTAGTAACGATTACATGTCACTGGTAGGCCAACAACCACACAACGGTAGAGTAACGGCTGAATAATGCAAAGAGGGGATCGCATTGGCTGCCCACAGAGAGTACCCTACAGTCCATCCCCTCCGCGCATTGGGAACAGCTGCCATGATTGTGATGGGGAGATATTCCTGATGCATAGAGGGGATGTGTGGTCGGGCGCCTGTAGGGCATGCTTTGTGGGCAGCTGATCCCGTCTGTGCAAAGAGTAAGGGTGGCTGTTACAGGCAAAAATCTCGAGCCAACCAAAGTGGCATTACTCCCACAATTGTGATGCCTTATCTATAAATAATGCATTATTGTAAAGGTATAGTGTTCTCTCCTCTCTCATCCTCTATATTTATTGCTCTCCACATGTGATCTCATCAGCACCCCATAGGTCCCCTACATGCATATTTGGTCCCGTACATGCATATTTGGTCACTGTAAACTGGAAACATAAAATTTTATGAAACCATTTTATATTTTTCTTTATTGCATTTCCAAAATTCAAGTTTTTAGCTTCTTTCTTTTTGTTTCTTTTTATTTATTTAAGAGAAAAGAAAATTGAAATAATTAGTTTCTTTTCCATTGGTAATCAATGTTTTGAAGATGCAAATGAAAAAAATAAGCTACATCTGCCGGTCAAGTCGGTAGTGGGTTTGTCCATTGTCTCACAACCTGCTTTACCGGTGCAACCTTTCTAGTCCAAAGAAACAATCGAGTCAAAATAAGAAGCTATTAGCAGGAAGCCCATATTCAAGAGGGTATGTTTTCCCGTACATGATGACATTCAGAACGAAAAATCCCCTCCACACCCCCCCCCCTCCTTTATGATTCAGTCTATATCTATGTAGAGCTAGGATTTTTTTGGGATGGATTGAATCCTGTTGGGAATATCTCCAGATGATGATATTATCAGTTTTGGTATTATCTTGATATACTGCGGGATGTACTGTGGGGCGGAGATGTAAACTCCTCAGAATGTACTCACCCGTAAATTCAAGCAATTTCATGCTAATTATATATTGTTTCATTAGCTTGTATAAGAAAACTCATTACCACCTCATAGGCTATGTTCTTTTTTTGGAAACACATTTATATACGTAAGTGTTTATTGGGTTAGTGAGCTTATAAATGAGATTACTTACTTTTCCATTCTTTTGCAATACTCACTTTTTTGGTTAAGTTGTTTTTTTTTTTCACTTTTTACCAATTTTATCCTTTCACCATTAGCTTTTCTAGAAGGGGAAATAACACTTTTTGTTATATGTGAACCACTCATTTTTTTAGATAAGAACCACTCAAAATTTTTGATGTCCAGGTATGACACATCTAGATAAAGATCTAGTTTTGCAAATTTTCACCATTTTCTTGCTGCTAGTTAAATTTGAAATTGTTGGTCAGAATCTGATTGAACAACACCTTTCGAGTTTGAGCTAATGGCATTCACATCATCCCTACAAACGTTAAAACAACCTCTGTGTTCAACAGTCAGAATCTAACTGAACAATAGGCTCTAGTTGGATATGGTTACTGCACATCATCTCTCCTTTACAACAGTTTTGCAAATATGCTCCAAAATTGTTGTTGGGTATGATTATTGCACATTTCTCCTACTCTATACACATTTGTGGCAAATTAAACAAGAATCAAATGAAATATGAGAATCTAAACCATATGTGGATAGAACACTCATGCATACAGTATCTAACAAGGAAGTCAAACATGACTAGAATGGGCAAATGGAAAACATAAGCAAGCATTATGACATTATGATATAATGTAATGGGCTGATTTGTTCATGTTGGCACTAACCTCTTTTTTTCTCTTTTTTTAGGTTGTATGTTTTTATCTTTTTATTTCTAATCTCTTCTAGGGGCCATTGCTTGGTTTAGTAGTAAAATCTCAGGATGACAGCCATGAAAATGCAACTTCGAGCCTGAGAGCATCCACTTCATGCAATAAATAAATAAATAAATAAAAGTAATGCCAAATTGTATCTGGGGACCAACATTGGGTAATGACCTTTCATTCCTCATATCTTCTCTTTATTGTTAACAAAATGTTTTTTTCCTAATGAGAAAATACTACCAAACTTAGTCGCCCCTTGCATGTCATCTATCTAGACTATTTTATAAAATGTCAAATCTTCATGATTTTTGTTAACTTTCTTTATTTTCCTATCTTGAGAATTTTTTTTAAACCTATCTATCTCAAATCCATCTTCACCTCCCTAGACCCCAATATTGACCCTACAAACATTTATTAACAAAATTTTCTAAACCTGGATCATACCTTTTGTCAACAACTTTTTTAAATCCCAAAATAAATGGATGAAAACTAACATTGAGAGGAAGTTTTGGGACTGACCAACGATGATTTCTCCTTTATTTTATGTTGTTACAACCTTAGCAACTGTTAAACTATGAGAATTTATGGCCCTTCTGCCTTTAACTCTCTATCAAACATAAAGAGGTATTCTCATGGAGAGGGTGAAAGGGTGAGTTCAAGTACCATCTAATGGACTAGAATAATAATATTAGCTCCCATACCCCCCCCCCCCCCCAACCACCTAGAAAATGATGGAGGCTTAATGAAGCAACATACTCTAGAGATCAACCATTGCACAAGAAATTTTGGTTGGGAGTGGGTGCATAGTAAAGGATAGGATTAAGAAATCCCATACCTCTTTCATAACAGGGCTTATATATAAAGTGAGGGATGTCTCCAAGTTGTCTTATGAGGAGATCCATGGTGTGTTGAAAATCCTCTTATTGAGCTCTATCAATCTCTTTTCATTGTTGCAGATAATAGAGATACATTAGCCTAGAACTACATGTAATGAAGAGGGAACAAGTGTAGTAGGGCTGCAAGTTGGGTCGGGTTAGGTCAGGTTGAGGCCAACCCTAAGTTCTAAACCCCCAACCCTATAACTAAATTCCTTCGATCCTAACCCAACCCAACTCAACCCAAAGTCAACTTCGGGTTGGATTACCCAACCTTCTTCCCATCCCTTAAAATCTTGTACAAACTTCTTAATCTCATATTTTAACTCAACTTTCACTACATATATTAATCATATGTTTTATTAGTATTTGTTTGTTGATGTAGTTATTGGTTCTTTAAGTACAAAATTTAGAAGAAAAAAAAAACTGTTTGAAATAACTATAGTTTATTACGAGTTATAACTTATAATAGATCTTTTATGGACAGCAAGCTATAAATGACAAACAACAGATAAAAGATAAAGAATAAAATATTCAAAAATTTTAAAATATATTATTAAGGCTTCTCATGTCATTAAGGTTTTAATATTTCCCGGGAACCAAACAGTCCCTTATTGTTTCGGGTGGAGGGTATAGGCAAGTATCAACTTTTATTAGGTCAAGTGTCTAAGTGTCCAATGTCCAACATATCATTAATTAGATTTGAAGAAGTCAAACTCCAACCTTTCATTTAATTAGGTGTATTAAGTTATAATGTAAGTGGCTGCCTCTCATCACGAATCCGATGTGTTCGAATTTGTGGTGAAGAAAGGTTTTGGAGTGAAAGGACTAGCTGATTCAGGAATAACCTCTGTACCCCCACGATATATCCACCCTCCAGACGAGAGAATTGATAGGAAGAAAACAATTGATGCATCACCATTCTTGGGCTCACCTATTGACTTGTCCGGGTTGGAAGGAGAGAAGAAGGATGAAACCATTGCTGCTATTTGCGAAGCTGCCTCCAAGCTCGGATTCTTTCAAGTGGTGAACCATGGAGTGTCACTCCAAGTCATGGAACGTGCGAAGCAGGATGCACATACTTTCTTCAACCTGTCGCCGGAGAAGAAAGCCGTCTACTTAAAGGGAAAGACGCCCTGCCCAAACGTCTTTTACAGCACCAGCTTTGGCCGGAGGCCGAGAAGTCTCTTGAATGGAAAGACTACTTAAGCATGATCTATATGAACGACGAAGAGGCTATGCTTTTCTGGCCGCGTGAATGTCGGTTCGTATTATATTCCTTAATTTTATTTTGGTTGATGTTTTTCTCCCGTCTGGTCTGACCCATGCTTGCAGAAAATTCCTTCTCTTGGTTCATAGATCTACTAACTGGTATATATGGTTGCAGAGATGCTGCGCACGACTATCTAAAAGCGGCAAGCAAGATGATCCAGGGGATACTGGGTGCTCTCCTGAGGGGACTTGGAGTAGAGTACGATGAGTCTCTCCTCAGCTGCTACATGGAAGCTAAGGCTGTGAACATGAACTTCTATCCACCCTGCCCGAACCCGGAGCTGACGGTAGGTGTAGGCCGGCATTCCGACTTGGCAGCCCTCACCATTCTCTTACAGGATGACATCGGAGGCCTCTTCGTTAAGGTTGAAGACGGAGGGTGGATAGAGATTCCTCCCGTGGAAGGTGCAATTGTAGTCAATGTGGGTGACACTTTGGAGGTACGTGATCGACTGCTGCGAGCGCTTCTTAACTAGGGTTTTGATTCATGACCTGACTTTATCGTTTTCCCTTTTGTTTTTTTTTTTTTTTTGCAATGTACTGTCAGTGCCGAATTGGGATCTGATCCTCACACCGATTTCATAGACACATCTCATCATGCATTAGAAACATTTCCCGGGAGATATTCCTAATGCATGGTATGTGTCTGTGAGGTCGGAGGCGCCCTCTGTGACGGGAGATGTTCCTCGCAGTGCCTGCCTGCTTAAAAAAAAGAGCTGATCCAATACGATAAAATATTGCAGATACTGAGCAATGGGAGGTACAAGAGTGCGGAGCATCGGGTGATCGCCAGCAGCACTAGAGCGCGAGTTTCAGTCCCTATTTTTGTAAGCCCACGACCACACACCATGATTGGACCTTTGCTGGGTCTAGCGGAGAAGGACGGCAAGACCGTTTACAGGCATCTCTTGTTTGGAGAATACATGACTAACTACTTTGGTGCGGCTCACCAAGGGAAGAAGACTCTAGTCTTTGCTAGACTCTGAACACATCACCCATCATCATTGTCTAAGCCTTATCATACAGATATATATGTGCCGTTGCAGTCGATCAACTATTAGTTTGTAGTATGAACACAATAAATAAGATCTATCTCAACCATATGTGATACAAATCACTTTTGCAATTTGCAAGGTACCAAGTCCTGGTGGTTGGTTGGGAAGACTTCCTGCAACTAGTTGTAGTGGAAGTATGGGCTATCCCTCGTGTCTGGCCCCATGAAAAAAACAAAAACAAAAAAAATTTCCAAATACAAACCGTGAATATCGATGGAATTTCATGTATTGTTGTGAATCCACCTTGAAAAGTGGATGAAGTGTGAGACTTATGTGTATTCTTTTATGGTAATAGGTAATTTGGTTTACTTTCGTTTATACTCGCAAACGGTTCGGATTGAATTGAATGCCATATAAACCCACTCCGGATTTTTTGTCCACGATAACTCTGCTCATGTCTACCCACAACACACTATCTCCGTAAATTGAGAATATTTCTCCCTCCATAATACTATATAGGAGGATGAGATGTTCTCCATGTGTGACTGCAATGTTATGTGGGTAGATGTGGGCAGGAGATCCAAACTCATATAAACCCAAGTTTATTTCCTTTTTATTCGGATCCAAATTAAATCTTATCCATTGGATTCTGGCGAATTTAAACTATTACAATCAGATGCTGAATAACATTAATATATTAAATTAAAAACTATTAATATATTGTATGTTATTAAGGTTACGTTTGGAAGCGATGCAAATAGAGTGTAAATGAAAATATGCATATAATGCATTTCAGTCCATACAAATGTAAAGTTGGGTTAGTTTTGCATTAACAAGTTTGCTTCTTACCAAACAAATTTTAATTGTAATGGATACAAACATTATTCCTGATAAAGTAATATGCCTTTTCTTGGGTAAAATACAAAAAACTCCCCTGAAGTTTCTGACAATCATAAAAGCCTCCCCTATAGTTTCATTTTAATAAATACCTCTCCTGAAATTTTGAAAAACTTGACAAAAACCTCCCTTTCATCACTGTCCCAAACGAAAAACATTAGATTGATGCACCAGTCTTTTCTAAATACCCATTCTATCCTTTTATAAATTATTTTACATATAAAATTACTAAAATAATCCCATTTTAATTAACTCAACAAAAAACATATTTCAGTAATTTTGTATGTAAAATTACTGAGTGATCGTTAAAAGAGGTTTTTGTTGAGTTAAAACGGGGTTATTTCTCTAATTTTGTATGTAAAATAATCAATAAAAGGGTAAAATAAGTATTTGGAAAAAAACTGGTGTATCAATCTGATGTTTTCCGTCTGGGACAATGACGGAAGGGAGGTTTTTGTTGAATTTCTCAAAAGTTCAATAGAGGTATTTATTAAAATGAAACTATAGGGGAGGATTTTATGATTGTCAGAAACTTTAAAGGAGGTTTTTGTATTTTATCCCTTTTTTTAATTACAATGAACCTAGTTACATTCACACTTTATTTGCACGTTTCCAAATGCAGCTTAATAAATTTAACTAAAAATGGCTTTAATATTAATTCATGACTTTGATATTGTATATCAGTATATGAAATATGACAAACAGAATATAGTGAAATTTTTTATGAAATTAATCTATTCTATTTATTAAAAAATAAGACACTCAACCAAACTCTATTTATAGATAAAATAAAGAGTTTAAAACTTTATATATATATATATATATATTATTATTATAAAAGTATATACATTGTTTTTCCCTCCACGTGGATTATAGATTAACAGTTAAACCATTTGGGTCAACCATAATGTTATGTTTATAAAAAATAAATAAACGCTTGGTATAAATGGTTTTCTATGACATGGTGGGTAAAAGTTGATCGAACCCGCAATTATGACTAGATTATCTGTCAAAATCAATATGGAAGCAGTTTGTTCGAATCTGAATGTTCTTCTGCTGGCAGGTCCTGTTATTCTGGATTTCCGTGGTTTGCGTCTAGTTGCTGGTATTAAGACTTTCTCGTTTTCTTCTCTCAGTGAAAGGGGGATGTATTTGGTTCCTACCTGGTTGGCCGACATCCATCGTGTCAAGTGCATTTTGTATGTTAATCATGGTGAAGATCAAACAGCAGTGTTGATCATCACCATGTAAGAAACTCTCTGCTTAGCTAGTGGGCTTTGTTTTCATCTGCGCCAAGTCTAACTATATTAGTTTAACCATTCTTGAGTAGGGATATCTATTTTCTCCATTTCGGCCAGTTACTCCTCCCGGACTCCTGTGGAAGTTGTCTTTGGTGGGGTGGAGAGTAGTCTTGTTCTGCTCCATTTTTTTATTATTTTTTGTTATATATAATATAAGTAATAAATAAATAAAATAATATAAACATAAAAAATTTCCACTTATTTGATTAAAAAACATAAGTTAAATAAATTATCAATTATCCTTTAAATAGAATTTAAAATATCATCAAATTCAATACCTAATAGATAATAATATCTATATGATTTGTAAAATCCTAAAACCTATTCCTATCCCAAAATACATTTTTTAATAAAAAAAACACCCCATTAGAACAAATACACAATGGTTAGGGTAAAAATGAATTTGCATTAGCATCCTAGAGTGTGCCCTACAGACGTCTTACAGCCCATTCCAGCAATATATTGAAAACATCTTCCCATGGCAAGTAGAGAATATTCCCAATGCACACTAAGATGTGCATGTGGGGCGCCAATCACATCTTGGTGAAAGTTGACATCTCCAGATGGGAATGGGCGAGATTGGCTTCTATACAATGTTCCAATTGCCTTTTACAATCTTGCATTGGGAATATCTTCCCATAAAATAAAGGGATTATAGTTTATAAGGGCAACTTTTGAGCCCTAATATCAATAAAAATAATCTTTTTAATATAATTTCTAAAATAGGTTAATTTTTTTAAAAAATATATCAAATAAGGGCAAAAACACTTTTCATCTTCTTCCTCCTCCAAACCACTGAATAAATCTCTCTCAAGATTAATAAATATTATTCATAGATCTCTACATTTTTGTTCTTTACTTCAAGGTTTTTTTTGAAAGAACTCCCCAAGCCCTAACCCCTGTTTTGGTATGAAAATAGGATTTCAATGGGCTAAACACTGTCTTGAAGAAGAAACCTATCAATTGAATCAATGCACCAAACATTAGAACAATGATCCATGTAATTAGCTTGTGAGATAGTTGAGGCACTGACGTCAATTTCGTAAGCTGAAAATGAGTACTTGGCTTTGATTGTAGTAGATGATGATTGAAACCACCCCACCATCTAAGATCCCAAATCTTTGCATGGTGAAAGCAACAACAATGAAGGTGCCACGAGTCTTCTTGTTGGCATACTTGGAAATAATCGTGGTAGAAAGTGGGTAGTCACCACCGATGCCGAACCCGTGCCAAAAGCAAAATAAAAAAAAAGAGAATCGCCATTATGCCTTTTGGAGCACTTCCAAAAGAAAGCCCTAAAGCGAAAAACAACGTTGAGAAGAACAGTCGTTTCTGATTTGTTCTTCTAGTTCAAATGCCAACGTGATCCATTCTTATTGGTAGGTTCATGCATCCCGTGAACCCATGGATTCACAAGATATGAACTCAAGAAAGAGAAAGATAGAGACTTGAAACCAAAGGTGGGGACATTTGTTCAGTGGTCTAAAGGAGGAAGGAGATGAACAATGTTTCTACCATTTTTTGATATTTTTTTTAAAATAAGGTTACCTTTATCAGCTATAATCCCACACATAAACAAGGAGATATTCTTATTGGAAGGCTATAAAGGCTACTCGAATGAGACCGAAGCCAAATTTAGGATGGGCTAGGATAATAAATCTATACTTCTTTAAAGAGCATAAATGGCCTCGATAATGTTTTTGGAATTTTTTAGGACAAAATTTACCCCTCTACATTTAAATTTATTGGTAAAAAGTGAGGGCAAATAAGGTAATCGATTATTGATATTAAATGAGCTAAAAAGAGATAATTTTATGATATTCAATGCATTCAATTCCATCTCAATAAATCCAATATTTAGTTTATTAACTTGAATTCATGTTCAGTGAATCTTATATTTAAGTTAATTTTGTTTCTTCTCATCTTTAAGTTCTATCAATTAAATCCATATTTAATAAATTAACAATTCCAATAACATAAAAGCTTATACTTTATCTAACTAGAAAAAATAGAGTTTTCATCTAGGTGGTAGTGAGAAATTAAACCATTTTGGGTCAAATTGGTTAATCCATGTTGCCACGATGAAATAATAAAATTTAAAAATAGATAGAATGAAAAAAATATAAATTAAAAAAAAATGGGAACATTTTTAACATATTCAACAATAATAAGTATGATAAATAAGAAATATTTTTATTAATGATGGAAATTGAATGTAAAATCTAAAACCAATTGGAAATAAAAATATTTTCATATTCTATTATTAAATCTTATATTTAATATATATTTTTCTCATCATTAAATTCTTGTAATTAAATCTACAATATTAATTTTAATAGTATAAAAATAAATATTTTGAAAAGTAATTTGAAAACAATATCATTTTCTTCCCTCCTCGTGGTGGGCAAACAATTCAATCATTTGGGGTCAAATGGATTAATAAACAATTCCATAATTAAATAATAAAAATTTTAAAATAAATAAGTATGAAATGTAATAAGTATTTTTATTAATGATGAAAATGGAATGCCAAATTTAAAATCTACCTAGAAATGAAATGATGTAATAGTCAAATAATAAAATTTTTAAAAATAGAAAATACAAAAATAAAAAAAGATGGAAAAAAATTTGGGCACATATCTAATGCTATATATTTATAAAAAAATAAGATATTGGGTACATCTCTAATATTATGCATCCATTATATTGAACAAAAATATGTATTATACATAAGAAATTTTTTTTTTCAATGATGAAATGTAATACAAAATTTAATGTCAACCTACAAATCAAACTATTTTTCTTTTTGGGTGGTGGGTTAGTGTTTTGGGTGAAATTAAATGATATCATAGACAAACAAAAATTAAGTGTGATAAGTAAAAATTATTTATATAATGTAAGTAAAATATATAATTTAAATGGAAAATTATAGTCAAAGTCGGTTATACATTTAAAATTAGGTTGTAGGTAGGTTTAGAAACCAAAAAAACTCTGACAACCAACTCTACATTTCAAATTACAAAAACCCTCGCCATGTCATCAGAAGCTTATGTGGCCGTTGACAACATATGACTCTTAATCCATGTTGGACACAAAAAAAAAAACATATATGGAAAATATGTTTTCAGCTTCTCTCCCACTCCCTCTGTCTCTTGATCTCCCTCTCTTCTCTCTCACTCTCGCAGTCATCTCTCGATCTCCTACTCTCTCAAGCCAAGAGCTTCTTATGAACTTTTATCAAATTGGTGTAATGATTTTTGAACTACACCAAGTTGGTCTCGAGACTAAAAACCATTTTTTCTTATTTTCCAATCACCTAACATTAAAGGGCAATTTCAATATAAGCTTTTTGTTGTGTCTAACATGGATTAAGAATCCCATAGAGGTAATAGCCAAATAAACCTCCAATGACATGATAATTTGAAATGTAGAGCCGATTGTTAGAAATTTGTTGATTTCTGGACTAACCTGTAGCCTAATTTTAAATGTCCAAGTTATAAATTTTTCTAATTTAAAATTAGTCTGGAACCAAAGCTATTTTATTATCTAAATAGTGGGTCATTGATCCAACTTTCCTAAAAAACCCATGATATCATAATTAAATAATAAATGTTTAATAAAAGATAGAACACCAAAAAAAATGTATAAAATTTAAACATTTAAGAACATTTATAATGTTATATATTCATCATATTAAATAAAAATAATTGTTAAAATAAAAGTTATTTTAATTTATGATAGAAATGGAACACAAAATTTAATAATAATAATAATAATTGTTATTTGGTACAAACATTTAAATTTATTTTTAATCATATCGTTACATTTATTAATTTTCAATTTCTAAAATTCAAATAATTAACATCAACAAAAATTTCTCTTAAACAACAATGCGTGATTAATTATTAGTAAATAAATAACAATAAAAAATCGCAGCAGGAGAGCTCGGATGATCTTCCCACTGGGCACAACCCACAGTCGCCCCACAGCAAATCCCTCCTTGCATTCCCAGTAAGGAGATGTTTCCAATGCACGGGGATGATGCGTCTTAACAGTTGCTGGTTCAGATGCGAGTCGAGATGTGCTGGAAACTATAGATGTGTAACAGTTGCTGGTTAGAAGTCTGAAATAAACCCAACGGCTATTCTCGACCTAAGTTCCAGAATTGCAGCAACGGAGAGAAGCTATTAAAACCTTGGATGGTGAGGAATAAGCGGTTTGACGGTTTCCCATCTGTCTCCGGCGAAAACCCCGTCTTAGTCGCAAACATTAATCGCAAGCACTAGTGTTGCTCTTACTTCCACTGAGGCCTCTAGTATGCATAGATCCCTGTAAGTACTAAGTATAATTCGTCCATCCATCTGTACAAGCATACATAGTAAGAAGCGAGTCATATGGTCATATATAATGTTACCCTCTTAGCTGTTTTCTCGTTTTACAGAACCAGAACACCTCTTCGCTTGATTGCAGATTCTTTCTTTAAATCCAAAGCGCATGGAAAGGTACTTTTCTCTCCTCCAAAATATGGAATTTTGAATGAATATCAGGAAGTACGTTCGATGATATCACATGATCTTGATTTTTCCCCTTTTAATGTAACTACAAATGTTGATCAGAGGCGAAGGAATGTGGCCGAGAGAATGGAATCCTCCCTAACCTCTGCAACTTCAGGAGGTATTTATTCAGTGGTTCTGTTTGTTAAATGGGTTAAGGAAAACTTTTATAGGGTCCCTTTTTTTTGGCTTCATACGCTCACAAGCCACGGTTTTGGCGTTTGGAAATTATATAGCACGGAATTTATAATTTCAACTTGTGTTCAATAGTAATTTGAGGCACGGGTTTATCATATATTCTGATAAAAATGGGATGGAGGTCGTTTAAAAATTTTGAGATCTGTGTAGCAGCTGCGTTCACCACTGCAAGTCTGGCTGTTGGGAATCTGCCGCACCAAGCTACAAATAATTTGACTTCAGCAACCCTCGTAAGCATCAAAGAAATTGTGAATTGATAAACTAGACAAAATAGAGTGTACAAAGAGATCCAAAAAAGACAAAATACACTGGACTGCCTCCTTCAGCAATCTGGCGAGAAGACTAACTAAGCAACTATGGAGATCACCATACAAGAACGATAACTTGCCTTTCCATTTCCCAAAAAACCACTGAAACCTATATCTTTACCCAACTATCCTAAGACCGAACTCTTTTCTGTACCCTAACTATGCAGCCAAAACCATTACACCAAATAATATTTTAACATATCTAAATTATATCCTATTAGTTATATTATATATAATTAAACATTTTAGAGGCCATTGCTTGGTCAATGGAAAAATCCCAGACTGTATTAGTGAGAACTGGGGTTCAAGTTAGAGAGGGACCACCATCATCATCATCATCAAGCCTTATCCCAACTATAATGGATCAACTACGTAAATCCTGCTTTGCCATTCCATTCTATTTGGTCTACCCCATAGCCCTTTTAGCCCCTTTAACATGCAACAAATCACTTCTTTTTACAGCTGCTGTTGATAGTCTAAGTGTACCCTGATTTGCAATTATTATTAAATTTACATATCATATATTCCATTTTAGTCCTGCTTATTCTAAAACCTTTTGTGCCATCTAGGCCACATCTAGTCCACTTTATGCTAAATTTAGGTGGTTAGGTCCATATCTCTAGTCCACCCCCATCTAGGCCTCAGATGGCTGGGGCCAACATTGGGTAATGGCCTTTATCATAAAACATTTTCAAGTACAAAAGTACAAATAATATACCTGAGATTGCCAATAGGTGGCTGCCTATAACCACATTAATGATAATTTAAAGAGAATGCTTACTAGCTATCAAACATGTAGATTGATGTAATTGGTGTTGGCTAGGCAAGCGGATCACCTAGGTGGCACTTTAGCTACACTCACAATGTATGTGCTTCTGTATATGTGTCTTTGTTGGGGGTGGGTGTACATGTATGGAATAGTTCAAGTAGAACCCACAACATTTACTCCCTCCTCTATCTTTATGTTTTTGTACTTCAAAGATTACATAAGATTACAATATCTTTGTTCACAGGCGACACAGGTAATAATCCTTTTGGACTCAAAGGAGAATCAGTTACAGGGTCCACACAGGTGCAAATTGTCAATGCACTTCGTTCTGGTCGGAGAGAGAGAGCTTCCGCTATGCTATCCAATCTTTGTTATGGGAATTATTTATTGAAAGCTAATGATTTTGTCTATATTCTTGACTATTGTGCAAGATCTCCTGATCCACTGGTAAGTAGAACTATGGGTTTTACTTAAATGATAGAGATAAAATCTTATGCTGAATCTGTGAAGGCTGCAACACCTATGTATGGAACTATGGATCAAGTTGCACCATCATTTTGTTCTCATTTGGACTCTCTCAGAGTTAAGTTTTGCTTGGCATCTCCAGTGCCAAACATGGGTAAAAGGACGGATGTGGTATTTTTGCAGTCATTATAAAACTCTGGCCATGTCTTATATATTCTGATATGTTTTACTGAGGTTTAGGTGGTGAGAGAATTTTTATATCTTATTTTAAACAAATGATATAGAGCTGAATGTAGGGTTAGGATTCAAACAGTTGACCACTTTAAGGTGGGATAAAGTTGATGATGACAATGGTGATATAAACAAAATCCTTAGGATCCAATTTCTTTTTTTCTTTACAAAGTGTTAGATCAAACCTGATTGCTATGGTAGATAAAGTTAGTCAACTTGGCATTGACATTTCCCCTTTTCCTTTTTTTTTTTTTTGGGGGGGGGGGTTGTCTTGTCTGGTTAGATAAGTTGTTAACCAGCTTTCAGTCCAAGATCATTAGATGTGAATGTGATCTTTAACATTGATGACACAATACATGGCCATCCCTAACAGAAGATCGTGACACCTACCAAAGTCCTAGGTCTAAGCTGAAGTGATTTGATCACCTGATCTCTTGATTAGTTCAGTTGTTTATTTCTTTTCTTGAAGCTTCCAAAAGATATGTGTCAAATAACAGAAAGTGTATCCAAAACAAAATTACTTGCAAAAGGTACATGCTTAAGAGTCCATCAAATATTGTGGCCCTTTTACTTTGAAAATTTGTTATTGGGGAAAAAAGAAGTGAAATCCATCAAATGATGGGCACCAATACCTTGCAGGTGCATAGTTTCTATTGTGTAGTTAGAGCTCAACAATTCCTTACTTCCTCTATCCTAACTATTGTAAAAAGCCATTACCCTATGCTGGTCCCATTTATCCTGGGTCTTGGGAGGGGTGGACTGGATACATACCTAAACTTTTGCAGTTTTAGCATAAAATGGCTGATATTGTACTAAAAGCTGTGGTGCCACACTTGTCAGCCCAAGGTTTTACCATATCAATGGCCCTTATTGTTTCCATCTTAATTGAGCATAATCCTGATTAGTTATGTTGCTGCTTTTTGGATGTAGCAGTTATTGCAGATCTTTCTTTCTCATGCAGTTTGTTTTGGAGACTTGGAAATTTATGGAAGAAAAAGGGATAGTCATGAACAAAAGATGCTACATGTCCATCACGAGGGCCCTCAGTAAAGGAGGTTACCTTGATGAGGTAGCAATTATTATTTTTTTAATATTATGTTAATATGTTGCATGGTTATTGTGCTAATATCTTGTTTTATTCTTATTTGTGTTCATTAAAAGAAACTAGTGAAGTGGGAGAGATGCATGGGAAATTCAGTAAACTAGGATTTAAACTACTAAAGGTAAGGATTGGTACTACATGACTATATGGATGTAAAAAATTGGAAAATCAGGGGTTAGGTAGCAAGTAGTAGCATAAAGTTTTAATAGGGGTGCTTGACACATATCCCACTTTTTATATTACTCCAATTCTTTTCTTACATATATATTAATAAAAGTTGAATGGTTTAAGAATCAAGAAAGGGGAAGGATTAGTACTGATAGATTTAGGGTTTGAAATGGTATGTTAGAAATGTTGGAATTGATTCTTGAAGGGCTTAACTAAGCAAATATACTTACAATTTCTGAAATTCTATAACGAGATAGCAAGAAATTGAAAGAACAAATTGATGAGAATTTTGACAAAGGGGTGTCAGGAATTGTATGAATTTAGGTCGAATTGGACTTGAGGTTAGGCTGTCCTGGTTGCAGCCCTACAGATTAAAGACCAAAGCATAATTGCAAATAAGTGTCTTGAAAAAATGGGAAAATCTGGATGTAAATACTGAGTACTTGAGTCTACTTCAACCAACTTACCCATCTACTACCTCCCAGCTTTTAAGATACTATTCTTAGTTACTAAAAGACTAGAGAAAATGATGAGACTTTTTATGGGAGCTAGGAGACTTTAAAAGGGACCATCTGATAAACTGGGATCTGGAAGTAAGGAATTAGGTAGTTTGGTAATTGGGAAGATAAGATAGAGAACTGAGCATTGTTGGGCAAATGACTTTGGAGATTCCTATTGGACACAAAAAAAAAAGAAAAGAAAAAAGAAAAAAGAAACTATGACATCATGTGGTGGGAAGCATTAATGGACTTACATAATACATACTAATGGATGGAATGTTGGTTTAGCTGCAAGGACAATGCTCACTTCTCTTGGGTTTTCTAAATCTTTATTCCATGTCTTCCTTTAAAGATAAAACAATGTTTCACTTTGCCTTTTCTTGGGGTTTCTTGGGATCTAGGTCCCAGAAGAGGATTGAGTGATTTTGAAGTGCTTGAAGCTTTTTAATCTATTAACTCAGATTTAGAATCCGGGTTCCTATTCCTCAGGGACTTTCTCACGTGCATCTTTCTTTAAATTCCTTTCTTCTTCTTCAAATACCCTGCATACCTTTCTGGTGAAAGAGATTTAGAGTGGACGAATACCACCCAATTGGTGCTTATCCCCACACCCTTTGTAATGCAAGTTGGAATAGGAATCTCCATCTGTTTGTCGTGGGAATTTGGTTGCGGTTATTTGCTCTTTTTGGGCATAGATAGACTCCTCCAATAGATGTGTAAATTTGGAAATGCACAAGGGCAAATGGTACATTGGACTGTATAGGAAAAGAGGAATGAAGGAACCTTTATTGACAAGGCTCTCTAAAATTGCAATCATCACATCATTACTGAGAAAGTAATCTATTGGATTGAAACATTTCTTTAACAACTTATCTATGGACTAGCTTAGAAGTGGCACTGGATAACATTCTCTTCTAGACTTCTACATTGTTATGAACCGAAGGCCCAGAGAGGCAGAGCAGCAGGAACCGGCCCAGAAGGATGATCAGCGGCAAATTTCAGATACGGGTCTATCTATTTACTTGATGAATTTTCCATGACTTACAAAGAGGATTAAATTTCAATATTTTATACATATAATGTCTCCAAATTCCAAAAGATGGAAAATCAAGATTCTGAGTTTTTTCCCCTAGATTCGGTTGCTATGATGTTTATACCATTTCCTTTTTGAAATGTAATGGACGTTATTTTTGGTTGATAGCAAAGAATTATTGAAGGAATGTAATTTAGTTCAGTTGACAGGAACATATGTACAAAAAGTGGAGACCATATGCTTAATGCTTTCTTGACTCACTTAGAACCACCTTCCCTTACAATGACAAAATAACCCTTAAACCGTCCTCAACCCAGAACAAAATATAGCAATCCAATTTTATTGAAGCATTGACCAGTTGAGGACCAGACCAACTGCATCACTAACTTGTTGGTTGATGCTCATGATGCAGTCACCTAAGACAACTAAGTATCAACTCAGTCAACTAGTCAATTATTGACTATTTAACCTAATTAACCACAAAATCATTTCAAATCTTTATTCATATGTTCATATCTCTAATTATTTGAAATAATATAGAATATGTCTATATTTTGTTATAAAATAACAGAAGGCAGTTTTCTTAAATTTAGAACATAGTCATTGCCTAGTCATCACATCAACTAGAGAGGCCTAAACAACTAGTTATTGCTTCACCACATTGACAACACTGCATCAACCACACTTTCTCGTATCAAACTAAGCCTGAATTTCTTCTTCCCCTCTGAAGATACAAACCCACCACTGTTGCAACATGGGGTTCAGGAAACTCCCAATTTTTAGCCTGTCAAGCATGTGGTTTATTGGATTTCATTTTTTCTAGTGCTAGCCATTTAAAATGCCATGGAATTAGGGGGGGATTGGAATTTAGATTCATTTTTGCTAAAGACTCAAATGTAGCTGTGTAGAGTGTACAGGATCTTAGTTTTTAATACTAGGTGCAAACTCTATTTGGTTTGGTACCAATCATACTGGATAGATTACAATTACTATTTAGTGGGACACAAAGTAATTGAACGTTAGGATTACTGTCTTATATTGGCTTGTTTCTACTCCATTGTTACCTATTATATGTGTGATACTTTAGTTTAGATCTTTATATCATTCTTATTCTTTCTTCAGGCATTTAATTGGTTGGCATTTCTTGGAGATGACCATCAGAAATGCCCTGTTCTTCCCATGTGCAATATTTTCTTGAATGGATGTGGTCAGATGCAACGCTTGGACCATGCTAATTACTGCTTGGATTTAATGGAACACCAACTGACAGGAAAGTCTGAAGTCACATATTGGGAGCTTCTCAAGGTTTGTTCTGAACTCAGTGCTAGTAATATATATAATTGTTTCAGGATGGAGTTCGGAGATGTACTGTTATTACTGTTTTGTACCGAGGTATTCCACACTTCATTAGCAAGATAGATGGATGTTGGATCACGTTCTGAGAACCAATGTGTTTGCCTATACACCAATGCAGGAGTTCCTGTTGTTACCTTCCCACTTTTTTCTTTTGTCTCATTTGGAATATAATAAGATCATTTACCTGCTATGTATGCAATGAACAGAGTTTTTCTACTACTGCAAACATTTTACTGTTTACAGTAAGTATATATTGTTTCAGCCTGTTATCTTGTTGAAGGGCAACATAAATGGGGCTACACGCTACTGCTTAACAAATGCCCTGATAATTTGTTACATGATCACCAAGAGGAGATAACGAGGTTTAGGTTTACTGACTTGCTTGTGTTGTGTTCATTAAGAACCATTCTTCAGTACATAATAGTGTTTATCAGTATCAATACAGAAAATAACTACACAATGTTGCATGTCTTGGTCTCTTGGGTTATGTTATAACCCAACACTACTAGTGGTTTCTTAGGTGCTGGTCCTAGATCTACAAAAATACAGGATGCAACGGTACAGATTCTGTATGACATTCATAGCTATGTAATTATTTTTTGTATCTGTACGAATACCACTGCTTGGTCCCATAGAATTTGGTTTCTTTTAGATGCATGGTATTTTCTTGCTTACCTTTTCTTTATGCTGGTAATTTCTCATACAAACATACCCAAAAGACCCGTCTACATGATACCAGTAGGGATACAAGTCCCGGTGTGTACCTTGGACTGGAACATCTTCAATTGCATAACTCTATTCATATCATCTTATCTGTTACAGTTCTACTTTTTTTTTTCATTGGATGGTCAAAAGAAATAGAGCAAACACCACAGAACAGCGCAAAATCAAGCTAGTTTTTCTTGAATAGAAGGTTGACCCTATCAAACGATCATTGTGCTCTAATTGATAAGATCCTTTGACATAAAGAATTCTTCTTGGTCAAACTTATCATTGTCATTGGTCTTGCCATCTGCACTACATGGTAGTATACTGTTGATTATTTTCAAACTATTTTGTGCATAGATTCCTTGAGGACATGCATTGATTGATAAACTAATTTGTTAATGTTGTTCTGCATATGACCAATAACTAACAGAGGAGCTTATTTTTAAACAGATTTGTCATTAGTAGTTTTATTCTCCTTGATAAGTTGCCATTGGTGAACTTTGTAATGGAAACTTGGTAAGAATTGTTATTCTAATTTGTATTCATGCCATCCAGCTTGCAGTTTGGCAGCAAAGTTTGTCCACAGTCCATGAGATATGGAAGGAATGTACGAAATACTATAACCCAAGCATTATTTTGTTGCGAAAATTTATTTGGTCTTATACAAGGTTAAGAGATCTGGCATCTGCATACAAGGTTTTGCAATATATGGTGGCCCTGGCCTTCAAGAGAAGTGATTTTGTTAATACATCTGCTGAAGGGAAATTTCGGTCTTCAAGATTGGACATTCCCATTCCTTCAAATATTGAATTAGCTATTGAAAACACTATGGAGAAGAGCCCCTTCCTAACTTTGTCATCTCTTGAAGACTATTTGCCAAAAATGGAAACAGATACAAGAAGCAAGAACATAGACATAGCCAGTAGGATAAGTCCCCTTCCTACCTTCTTCACTCCTTGTAGCTTAGATCTCTCAATTAATATTACTATCTCTTTTCTATTCACAGATAAAGAAAAGACTTGTCACTGTTTCTGTTGATAACCAAGGGAATTAACATGGTTTTTGCATGGAAAATATCAAAATACAGAACCAGATAGTGCTGGGCTCTCTTTAACAAGGAAATATATTGACAGTATGCGGGTTATGAAGGTCCTGAGGTGGTCTTTCAGTGATGTAATACATGCATGTGCTCAATCAAGAAACTCTGAGCTTGCTGAGCAATTGTTCTTACAGGTAGCTTTTTTTGTTAATTTTTTTTGTTCTTTTCTAGATTTTGTGATTTTCTTGAAGAAACCCAGAGTGAAAATTTTCATGCTCTTCATCCTATTAAATCCATAGTAAGCCAAAATTTTGTTCCAATGGAAAAAATGGTGATGATGAATTTACCATGAAAATTCATGTTCTTGCTGTTGGAAAGAAGATGTGGATACAGAGTGCTAGTTAATCTGATTTTTTTTTCTTCTTGGACCTTCTGGTAATTAAGGCTATCATCATGATTTAACAGGGATTTGGATATGCTTCTTTTTCCACATTGTATTGATTATTGTGTTTGCATGATATACTGATCTGAAGTCCTCTTATATATAGATGCATGATCTTGGCTTGCAACCATCAGAGCATACATACGACGGCTTCATTAAAGCTCTTGTTTCTGGTAGAGGTGTTACTGATGGCATGGAAGTGGTGAGTTTTCTTATTAAATTTTATATGAAACTATATTTTCAGTATAGTATACTGTTCATTTTATTCTTTGCAAATACATCTCTTTCTCTCTTGCTGCCTTCTTTTATTTGAAAAGGCAAAAACATGCTCATCTTTCTGCCTTCTCAATCCTCTGGACTTGACACATTTTCATGCTTAACCCATTCATGTTTCTGCAGGTAAAAACAATGGAAAAGAGCAACTTGAAGCCATATAATGCTACTCTTGCAACCCTTTCAATAGGTTGCAGTAAAAATTTAGAACTAGACTTAGCTGAGACTTTTCTTGATCAAATTGTTGAAAGTTCATATGCTCATCCTTTCAATGAGTTGCTTGCAGCATGTGATGTTATGGTAAGTATTTTCTTCTAAACTCAAAATCTCATATTGTAATTTGTCTCTCATGTATTATGGTAGCCTTACTCATTTAAATTTCTGCAATAAAAAATGAACAGTTTTAATAACAACAGAAAATTAGAGTGGAAAAGAATTTCCCACAGAGAATACTAAAAATCTTAGAAAAATTTACATTTTCTTAGATAGTAATTAGGTCAATTTCTTGCAAATCCACATGCTAATTCCTTGAGTTCTCTTAAGCTTGACAATTTGTCCTACCCCAAGTATCTTATAGCTAGTAGGGACTGTAAGAATACTTTAGGATGAATTATTAGAAATTGGCCAAGGTATTGATGTATTGTTTATTACCATAGAAGGTTTGGGGGCTATGACTTCCCAGCTCAACAACTCATTTCCATTTTTTCCTTGCTGCACTAATGCTAGGATGGACATAGTTGGCAATGATAGGAATTAAGGAATTATATTTGTTTTTTGAGAGAATTATATTTTTTGATGGCTAGGTGTTTCTATATAGGATTTTTTCTTATTCGTTGTTCCCCCTCTTGGGCTTTCTTTTTCTCATTTTGGCCCTAGTGGAAAAAGGAAAAGAAAGAAACAACAGCAACCATTCAATGAATCTCCTCCTAGAGATGTCTTTAAGTTCAACTTTGGTAGTTGTTCTTTCTAGTTATATGGAACTAGCAGAGTTTGTCAAAATCATGAATTTGAGGAATTTACTCCTAAGGAACCTTTTGCTATCATAGGTCAGGAGCCAAAGGGCTATGTAATACTAGGGCAGAATACAAAGACTATTATTGTATCTAGTGCTGATGTTTTAAAATCTAATAGAAGTTATCTTATCTTTTAATGATAAAAAACGGTGATGCCTCAAGAAAAAGAACCCTCCACCCGGTAGTCAGTCATGTGGCCATCAAATAGATAGAAATAGTTCACACCAAGTCATTAAAGCTTGCCACCTAGGTCTTGGGTGAGTCCCAAATATTGTACTCTCCATGGTTGTCAAGGCGCTTAGGGGAATTAATGTGACAGTGGAGTGCCTAGTTGGCTAGTTACACAGGCAAAAGAATTTTACAAAGACAAAAACTAAGGGGCCGTTTGGCAAGTCTTTTTTGAAAGATCTTTTGGAAGCTCTGACAGTCAAAAGACGATGTGAGCTTTTGCATCAAGATCTTAACAGCTTGAAGACCATTTGGTTAAGGCACATTTTTCCGCGTGAAGATGAGTTGAAAAAAAAAGGCGAAAAGCTCCATTTGGAGCTTCCCGAAAATAGCCCGAAAAAGCTGACAGCCCGCGTGAAAAGACACACCAAATGGGGCCTAAATTTTAGGTTAGTCCCCTAAGCTCGCATACCAATCAGGATGAATTATGTATTTGATCCCAAACTTTATAGTGGCCAGTAACTCCCTTATCCTGTTTATGAAGCACCAAGGGGCAACAACCTGCTCCATGATATCTACAAGGACTTGGGTGTCACTCTCAATGTGGAGTTTTCCATCAATTGTAAGAGTAGGCCAACCTACTCCTAGAATGGCCTTCACCTCTGCTTCTAGATTCATACCCATGCCATGCTCCAACCTAAATGCATGTAAATAAATAATTCTTTCTGTAGAACCATTTTGAACTTGCTATAGTTAAGGATGTTCAATGTCATAATCTGGTCAACTAATTAAAATGATTGCTTCCATCCTTGGGGAAGCTTCCTCCCAAATCTTGTGCAGCAGGTCAACTTAACAACTTTGATCAAAGATTCATAAAGGATCTAACTGAAAGTACTTTCACAGATCCACTTAATGCTACAGTTGATGGTTTAGACAGGCCCTTGGGTTCAAAGGGCATTCTTGTAACATGGGAGGAAGGCCTCTTTTTGTATAGAGATATAATACCTATAATTGATATAATACACGTTATCTAAGCTTCGCTCGACTGGGGCTTCCTTATCTCTTAAGCATTGTTGGAGACAATATGAAAAGATCCCCTACAAGGCTAGTTCCATTAATGGATATATATGTGGAGGCATCCCAAATAAATAAGATAGGAAAAACTCACCAAGAACCTTCTGAAGAAGCAGCTCAAATTGATTCCCCTAATGAAGACCAAGAATCTTGTGAAACAATTTGGTATTTCCCAAGAAAAGGGGTTTTTCCATATGGAGACACTATTGCCGCTTCCCTTTAATCAGGTCACTCCCCTCTCTGTTTTAGTAAATGCACTCTATTAAGATAACTTCAGATCATATCCCTCATCAAGTTTCTTTTTTAATTAATGCCAAAAACAACTCTTTTAAAACTCTGAACAATTTCTCTAATTTTACTACTCATGATATTATTAGGAACTGGAAGATTGTGGCATGCTCTTCATTGGCAGGAGATTGTAAAGATATTGGGACGAATGGGCCTTAGTTCGTTTCTTTTATTTTAGTGGTGTTTATGTTTTATTAGTGGGCCTCAATTATGGGCCTTGTTTTGCATTCTTATTATCTTTATTGAGCTGCCCATCCTACCAAGGGCGTCCATGTAATTGTACCTAAATTACAATTAGATCTAATAAAAAAGTTTTAGGGGACTGAGGAGAGGATCAATTAGCTCTCTTCTTTCTTCTTCTTTCTTCCATTCTCTTCTTCTGGACTCTCTCTTCTTCCACCTTTTCTTTTCTTTTGGTTTATTTTCAGATTTATTGCAGGTGTGATTTGCAACTGATATCCAATGTTTTAAAACGCGGAAGTGTGACATGAGGTGTTCCACTACCTAGAGGCGTGAAGCGTAGTTCAGAACGCAAAAGGTGTAAGCCTCCCGAACACAAGCAGCGTAAGCCTCCTTAAGAGGAGGGGGGTTAGGAGGAAGGAAACTGTGGACCCCACATTGAGAGTACTCGTGTGACACCCTGAGATGTACTTAGACTTAATTGATTAGGATCAGCTTTCCTAGTAGGATAAGGATAAGTTTTATTCTATCTTATCTAGGATTAGTTTTATTTTAATCTTATCTTTTATTGCCATGTAAGCATTAAAGTTCTTTTACAATTAGGAAACCATGTATATAAATTAAGGAGTGGGGCGGCTGTTTTAAGCACTCCAACCAATCTCTTCTTTCAAAGCTTCTCCCACGAGTGCTTCTTCTCTATCTCTCTTCTTCTCTTCTTCTCCTTTTCTCCTTCTCTTTTATTTTCTGTTCAAAACCTAGAGTCTCTGTAGTCTTGTACGACTACTATAGCATTAGTTGAAAGGGGGGTCTTGTCGAAAAGGGGGGGACAGGGGGTCTGGGGGGCTTCGCCCCCCAGCCAAAGGGGCAAGGGGAAAACCACTTTCTTTCCCCTTATCTTTTCTTCCCTTCCCTTTCTTTTTCTTTCCTTTTCTCTTTTTTTTTTCTTCTCTTTCTTTTTCTTTCCATTCCCTTTCTTTTCTTTTCCTTTTTTCCTTTTTCTTTTTTTTTTGTCTTTTTATATAAGATGTGCATGAGGCGTACGCCTCAGAGGTGTCAGCACCTCTGGCATACGCCTCAGGGCGTTTTGGGAGCGCCTCCAGGCGTACGCCTCCCATGCCTTTTAAAACACTGCTGATATCTTCACATATATCATGGTCACCGCAGGTTTGGGAGTGGGAGGTGCAACCATATATCATGGTTACCAAGAGGCGTACGCGTCTTGGTAATCCAGGTAACTCTGAAGTGGGAGGTGCATCCAGAAATCATGATATTAGTGCTACTCTCTGGTCCTGTCAGATTTGGGGATTCTACAATCCAGGAGGGCTGATGATTGCCCAACAAGGGATGAGGTTGGCTAAACTCCTAAGCTTTAGAAATCTAATGGTGGAAGGAGATTCCCATGTTATTTAGGGGTGGCTTACTGGCTTTTATCTGACAGTATGAGATCCTGGAATTATAAACATGTAATTAGAGAGATAAAAAGATGATTATGAAGTTGGGACTTTCTTATAACTTGTTGATGTGAAAATTTTAAGAAATTCTCATACAACATAATTCACTCAATCAAATGATTGAGTTCTTTTTTTTTATTTTATTTTATTTGGGGGGGGGGGGGAGGGAGGGATAAGGCCCTTTCAGGAAATCACATGGATAGTTCCCCTTAATTACATTCCTACAAGAGAACAGAGAACACATTTTGATTCTAGCTTAGAGAAATGAACATATAGAACAGATGAAAAAGAATAATAGTTCCCMTTAATTACATTCCTACAAGAGAACAGAGAACACATTTTGATTCTAGCTTAGAGAAATGAACATATAGAACAGATGAAAAAGAATAATAGTTCCCMTTAATTACATTCCTACAAGAGAACAGAGAACACATTTTGATTCTAGCTTAGAGAAATGAACATATAGAACAGATGAAAAAGAATAATAGAGAATTCTTGGAAGGAAATTTTCATTTGCATATCTTTCTTTACATATTTCAAGTTTACAAGAATGATAGAGAAAAGAATATAATTGAGAAAGTTTATAACATCATATTTCTCTTTTTTTATACAACAGTTTCTTTCTCACTTCTTTCTTCTTCACAACAAGTCATAGTCAATCAGACAAAGACTCCGGTTGTAGACAGCATCAATCATCTGGACTTTGCATATAGGAAGGGAACTATAGTCTGTCAAATTAAATATCTGACTATAGACAATTTTTACTCCTCCATTCTTCATCTGCATTTGAAGGGAACCAAACCATAATTGGCCTTTCAGAACAAGGCTGTAGATGGGTCAATCCCTAACCTGTTTTGGTAGAGGAACAGGAACCATAATCAACCAAGTAGAAGCACATGGTCATAGATGATTTCTTGTCCTCTATTTCCTTTCTTACAAGTAAATGAAAGAGAGGAGAAGAATATGCAATGTGAAATTAAAAGAAATGTGCAGGGGGTATTTGCAAAGAGGACTTCCCTTCTACCTATGTCGTTGAGGTTTCTTTATTGTCTTCTTTGTCTTCCTCTTTCTTCACGAAACTTCTCTGTCTTCTCTCTTTATTTTGGATTTTCTTAGGACTCTCTCTATGAATGTTGTTCCTTAAGACATGATATCTCCGAAGGGGAGGGCTAAAGCCTCCGTCCAAAGAGCTTAAATACAAATTGAGGTGGTTATGCTATTAACCCTCTCCCCCTAGGTGAAAGACACTTGGCCTTCTTAAAGAGAGGGGGCACCTATATGGGGCACCTCATTTAGTCTAGATGGGATTTTGTTACCCCACTAACCAATCAATCTATTTGGGTTATAAACTATTTCAAATTTATTTCATATTATGGGTTTGTTAAAAATTTTACCTTCAACATAACCGGGCACCAAGTAGGGGTGTAAATGGATCGAATTCGAATCAGATCAGGCAATATTTGAATTCAAATCATTTATAAAAAAAAATTTGAATTCGAATTCAACTAATTAATTATTTTAGGTAATTAATGAATATATAAAATAAATATTTTATGCATATAGAGTATATAAATTATTTATATAATTTAATTATTATATATATAAATTATATAAAACATTTTAAAATTTTATATATTATATATAAGAATTAATTAATCGGTCGAATTCGGATATTTATCAAATCGAATTAGGCCATATCCGAATTCGAATCTGATTAGCTAGTCAGTATAAATAGGATATCCGAATTCGAATGATTAGATATTCGAATTATCCGAATTCGATTCGATTATGTCGAATCTCAAATTCGAAATCAGATTTTTGAATACCGTTGACACCCCTAGCACCAAGATCACCTTGTAGAGTGGTTGTTGTTTTATCAAGCAGGAGCAGACATAGATCAATTGATTCCCAAGGGGGGAGCTTGTAAAATTGAAAGAAGGAAAGGTGGGTAGCTATGCTTGCCAAAAATTAGGGATGATTTGGCACATTTATTTTTTATTATTATCAATAAAAAACTTTTAAAACTCACCCAACCGTTTTTGTATTTCTTGTTAACTAACTAAAAATTGTTGGGGGGGGGAGAAAGTGGCGGTTTAGAGGCAGAAATTTTCTGTTAAGATCCAATGGTGTAATGCAGGATGTGACCTTTTTATATTGCAGATACAACTAAAAAACCTCATTAGAGTTAACATCACATTGACCTAAAAAAAGAAGAAACAAGTAATAATTGGTTTCAATGGACTTGACAATTTTCCATTTCATGTAAAATCCAAAAATATATGAAATCCAAGCTTATTAACAAGTTAAATTATGAGAAAGTTAACATGAAAAAATCTGATACTCGATTAGTTTTCAGGTCAATTTTATGATCTGAGGATCTGATTGAAGCCAAAAATAGAGATCTGAATGCTCAGAAGAGTATTTATTGTATACTTTTTAGCTTAAAAGTTAAATTATCTCTGTTTTACATCAAGGTCCACAGGGTTCTTCTGTAATCTGAAATAAGTGATTAGAGGATTTGTGACTGGTGATAAGTTCGAAATAGGCTTAGATTTAGCAACATCTGATAAATGGAATTCTTTTTGCGAAAAAAAATATAAATAGAATTTTCTACCTATCTTGTTGTTGGTAGTTGGTTGATTCTTCTGATACTGGCTAATGCGTTGTGTGAAATCTGAGAACCAGGCATGAGAAGTAAATTAATGGAATCACAATCTCCGTATCCTTCTTTTAGTGGTTTTCTATTTAGAGAGCAGCATGTTAAATTGGGTAACGGAATTGGTCTGGTGGATTTGAACAAGGGTTTTATCCTCAATGAAAACACTTAATGGAAAGATATAATCCATGAGTGCATTAGTTGAATAAGCACCCTAACAGGGAAAGTAGCCTAAGCAAGGTGTGGCCCTCCTTTTTCAAAAGAATCACTATGTTGAAGGAAAGAAACAAGATAACGTTGGAAGTATCACTTAGAGTTCTCTAGGCATCAATTCCTAGAGGATCTACAAGGGAATCACCACTCAGCAGAATTTTGAAGGAACCTAAACCTTCAAAGGGCCTACCATCATGCTTGTGGATAGAAAAGTTCAACCATAAAATTTTCTGAAAGTAGGATTTTGACTCATGACAGTTCTCTAGGCATCAATACCTAGAGGCTACAAGGAATCACCACTCAGCAGAATTTTGAAGGAACCTAAACCTTCAAAGTGCCAACCATCATGCTTGTGGATAGAAAACTTCAACCATAAAATTTTCTGAAAGTAGGATTTTGACTCATGACAACCTTTACCTAAATGTATAAAATTAAAACTTCAGAAATTAATTCCAACCTAAATAAATCATAGTGCTAACATGACTGTAGTTTCCATCATAAAACCTAAGTTGTCTGTACTTTGCCCATAACTTGTTCAATACATCTTACCAAATAACAACGATTATGAGGTTAGTCTTTCTGATTTTGTCTGCCAACTGATTTCTATTTAAATTTGTTTCATTAAATGAGTAATCAACTGGCATTTCCTGAGTTATTTTGTTCTCTTCTTGATGGATGATAAGTTTCCTTATTGAATCTGTTTGCTATTTGCATGTTGTCTCCTGGCCATTTAGATAACTACATCATGTTAATTATATTTTGCAGGATGAACCTGAACGTGCAGTTAGGGTATTGGCAAAAATGAAGCATTTGAAACTTAAATTGGACATACGGACGTATGAATTGCTGTTTTCATTGTTTGGTAATGTGAATGCTCCTTATGAGAAGGGGAACATGCTATCAATGGTAGATGTTGCTAAAAGAATAAATGCCATAGAAACAGATATGTTGAAAAATGGAGTTCAACATAGCCATTTATCAATGGTGAACCTGGTAAGCCTGCCTCATGTGTTTTCTTTTGCACTGGCTTGTCCATTGGGCCACCAGGGTCAATTTCCAGTGGATACACTGATATTTTCTGGACCTGCCAGGCAATAGAGAAATAGAACTGAATGTGTGTGTGTGTGTGTGTGTGTGTGTGTGTTTTCCCTTTCATAAATCATTGATTATGAATCAGTAATATCCAAATAAAGGAGAGAAGTTAGATAGAGAAGTGGCCTGGCTCTACAATAGATCCCTAAATAAGGATGAAATCAGCAAGGAAGAAAAAAAGTTTGAAGGTGAACTAGAAAGGAGAGAGGTCATAAATCTTCAACTTGTTCTACCAGAATATATCTATGGTGGATTTTGGATCTTGTGCAATGTAGTAGATATGTTTCTAATGAATATCCAATGAAGTAGATACCACTGATTATTTTTATAAAAAACTACATGTTGAATTTATTAACATATTTCTGTAGCATAGTCATGGTACTGTGATAATGTCCCAAAACAACTCTCTCACGCTGTTCCCTTCTGTTAGATTAAAGACATAAATATGGAAAACTACACACTTGCAATGCACTTCTCTTTTATGTTTTTGTTTTTTTTGAAGCCCACTTGCAATGGGCTTTTCTTTTCCTTCTTATTGATCAGCTTCAGTATAGGCCATTTACTGTAGTGTATGGAGTCCCTGCATTACCATGGATAAAATTGCACTTGTGGTTATTGAGTGCATCCGGATTTAGCATTGATCTTCTTTTCATTCTTTTTCAGCTAAAAGCTCTTGGAACTGAGGGAATGATAAGGGAGCTCATCCAATACTTGCATGTGGCAGAAAACCTATTCTGTCATGCAAATACTTCTCCAGGGACAGCAATCTACAATACAGTGCTTCATTCACTTGTTGAGGCTAATGAGGTAAGCACATAATGTTGTGTATCTAATTTGCTCTTCCTATGAGCCAAAGCTGGTTTTCATAATCTCTTTGCAGTTCTATTTTGTAACATAGCAGGTTTTGCATGAAATGCAGAGTCACATGGCAATAGAGGTTTTCAGAAATATGAAATTATGTGGTTTGCCACCTGATGCTGCAACATACAATATCATGATTGATTGTTGCAGCATTACAAGATGTTTTAGGTCCGCTCTTGCACTGGTTTCTATGATGCTACGTGATGGTTTTTGTCCTCAGATTTGTACTTACACTGCTCTCATAAAGGTTTGTACTTACCTTGTAAAATTCCAAGTTTATATACGGAGAAAATTGGTGGAATTATTCTATCCATGATAAGTACATCCTAGTTTATAACACTACATGCCATTATAAGTACATCCTAGTATATTTTAATTATCAAACTGTTATCTTCTATATCTTTTGCTGTAAAAGTTTCGATGTTATTTGTTGCATCATGCAGCAGGAAATATTTTGTTACAGTTCATTAACAAAATTGAATCATGCAAAGGTACTAAAGGTTAGGTCCTAAGATGCCGCAAGAATGGAACATTGTAACAGATCACAGAGGTCATCTATGGATGTGGCTGAACTTGTTAATCATTTCCTGGCTGTTAAACATTTTGGTTTGTTTTTTTGGTATTAATAACGGTCCTTTGCCAAAACAACAGAAGTTAGAACCAGAAAGGTCAAGAAAGTTGGTCGTCACTCATTTGTGATAGCTTATTCATATTGCATGAATTTGTTGTGTTTGGCATTGCTTATTTGCATTGCATGAATTTGTTGTGTTTGGCATCTCTAGGTGAACAGTCTGAGTTGCAGTTAATATTAGTGGGATAACATCACTTGGATCTGGATTTCAGTCTTCTAATTTCTGATCTAATTCTTTTTCCAGATTCTGTTGGCAAATGAAGATTTCAGTGAAGCATTGAATCTTTTGGATCAGGCACACTATGAAGGGATTCAATCTGATGTGCTGTTAATTAATACCTTTCTTGAAGAAGCATATTTGAAGGTATTCTACATCACTAGATTGACAGAATTATCTGCTTTGGTCCTTTTTCTTTCTATTTTTTTTTTTAAGTGAGGAACTCCTGGTCTTGGGTAAGGCCATGAGGACACTACGAATAGGCCAGATTACTCATGGCATACATGCAAGGTGGCTGAACCCAATATTACCCATCAGATGAGCATGATCATGAGTTCATCATTACATAGGTAGAGATTATCATTGTAGGCCACTTGTATGCATTCCTGCACAATTCAATGATGTTGGTATGCCAATATTTCACTCTGCCTGGTAGGTGATGGTTACTCTGAAATTGCTCATTCCATGGACTACGAATATTGCATAACTGGTGTTGTGACGTTATTCTGTTAGGGACGAATTGACATGATGGAGTCTATTGTTGAGAGAATGCACCAAGAGAAAATCCAGCCTGACCCATCAACTTGCCATTATGTTTTCTCTGCATATGTGGACCGTGGTTTTCATAGCACAGCAATGGAAGCATTACAAGTTCTTAGCATGCGAATGATTTCTGAAGAAAGCACTCTTATAGAGAAGAGAGCTGAATTTGAGGATGATTTTGTTTACAATGAAGACTTGGAAACTGAGTCACGGATACTCAAGTTGTTCAAGGGATCAGAACAGAACCTTGCTGCTGCCTTGTTGAATCTTCGTTGGTGCGCAATTGTTGGATATTCTATTTCATGGTTACCCAATGAAAGTGCATGGGCTAAAAGACTTAACTCAAGCTATGGTCCAAGAAAAGCTAGCTGAAAAAATCTAGTTGGCATTTTATGCATCCCCCACCTCCTCCCCCTCCCATTACCACCACTACCAAAGGGTTCCCCAAATTTTTGACTAAAGGGGAGAACAGCATCAGCTATTGGGCTTAAGTTTACCCCAAAGTCGAGTTAGTTGAAACATTTGGGGCCTTACTCTGGCCAAGCTGTAAGCCTGTAACCAAGAGGGGTGGAGAGAGAGAGAGAGAGAGAGATTCGTATTACTTATTTTTCAGGACCTGCTGACCTAGTGTGCCTTAAGCTTATTTATTTATTTGGCTCATTGGCCTACAAAAAGGGGGGGGGGGGGTAGCCCATCACCCATACCCAACCCCTGTCAGCGATCCCAAGTATTTTAGTTTTAGCCACCAATATCTGATGTCATATAACTGTTTTATATCAATTAGAAATTTTGATTTTTTTAATCTGGTAAATTATTGAGGGTAACCACTGGTACGTCATCGGCATTGTGGACCGTTATCTTCATCCTTTTAGACTTGGTGGCTGCCCTTGGTGTGGGGATTGGATTGTCCAGTGTCCACCCACCTAGAGACTGGTGAATATGTGATAATAGCAACTTGAAGCTGTGACGTGTTTTGCATGGAATTGGAATTGAGCCGAGGCTGAAGGTGGATGCCTTTTGAGCATGGTGAAAGTGAAATCCAACAGTGAAGAGGTTTAGCGTGATGGGCGAAGAGGAAGAGCCAATTTTCTGATCTGCACAATCTGGAGATTGGAGCCCCGGTAATTGCACATTCTTTGGGAAATTATTAGAATGCATTTTTTTCCCTCTTTAGTTAATCTAGGTTTTCAGTACTGCACCATAAATCCCCTATGGATACCGCCACTATTTCCACTTTTCTAACAATAACCAAGATAAAGAAGATGAAAAAATTCTCTCTAACCTTCAGCACTAGAAATGTAATCGTATACAAAAGGTCATTTTCCAGTTCCAATTCTACTTGTCATATACAAGCATATACAGCTTGGAACAGAAAGGAAAAGAAATTGTGTATGGCTACAAATTTAGAAGGTAGTTAGAGCTAAATTTGTAAATCGAAGTGTTTTGAGGTTCTAAGCAGACACCTTAAGCAAGATTTTCCAGGCCCCATTCAATATAAAGACTACAGGGTCCCATGGTGATACGGAATCTCGGTTTGGCATCCTAAATCAAATTACTGGACACCATCCATGCTGTTGATCACCAGTCTTACAGGTTAAACCTTCCATAACCTATATGTAGTTGTAGGATATGAAGTGGATCGGCTTCCATGACCAAGATTGCCTGTTAGTAATTTGAGATCGGATTTTTCCTTGGTACCAACACTTGCAGCAGTGCATTGAAATGTGAAAACATATCCATACTTGTACGTTTTTTATTTGTTTCCAATTCACAGCTTAAAAGGTAGTGAGAATGAAATCTCAACTCTAATAATTTAGCACAAGCGCAGGGGAGGTACAAATAATTCATCTTCCCTTTCATTTTACTTATTTATTTATTTTTTGGCAGGGTGAGAGTTAGGACGCTGAATCTCCTACCCACAAAACACAACTGTGCATTAGGAACATAACACAGTATGTGTGGTTGCAATTTCATATGGATGGGTAGAATTCTTGTGGGTAGGAAATCCGAACTGGAGAGTTAGCGACTAGACCGTGAGACACCGAATACAAATGGAAATTTGTATGCACAGCTCACAAAGCTATCTGTTCGCAAAGGTTATCATCATGTGAAAAATCTTCTGCTCCGCGGGAGGTAAAAGGCTCGGCGACATTCATATTCAAATTTGTTTTCTATTTGCTATTGATTTTTGTCTTTTAAAAAGTAAGATAAAAACCGTCACTTCTGAGTTGACTTGCTGAGCGATTGTTCTAAAGGTTGGATCGTTGGATAGGTTGACGTATAATCCTCGACTCGGATTTGACCAATTCTCTCCATACATCAAAATTCTGCATGGTAACTTGTAGCACTACTCATTAGTTATTAGTAAAGTGAATCACTTGTTCACTGGTGTTGGTAGATGTGGATGATCCAAGCCAGCAAACGGAAAACAAATAGAGCTTCTTGTTGGGCACATGATCAATAAAAAGTTCAGAACTAAACTTGTTCATCTAGATTGGCTAATTAACCAGTTATTGATGACAGATTAACTGGGTTGTGCATTTTCTTCGCCCATCTAAGAGAAACCCATATCATCCTGTGTCATTTTGTTACATTGCTACAAGTCAGACCTGTATTAAAAATTCAAGAAGCAGTCTCCATCCATTAAAAAAAAAACAGATTTTGTAAGCAGTGAAGGAACAAAGTGATGTAAAAATTCATCTCCTGTTATTCCTTGGTGATGAAGCATTGCGTTATTTCAAATTGGATAAATAAAAATACCAATGTATCTCAAATATTACTACCTTTGACATTTATGTTAATTTGTTTCTGCACCGGCCAGAATAAATTTCCTCCCAACTCGTGTTTTAGATGTTTTCTCCTGGTGGTAATTCAGCAAGCTTCGGCGGAGTACCAAGTACTCTCTCCATGTCAAACCGCACCTCAATATTACGTATGCTATAGCCAACCACCATCAGCCAATAAAGCAGCTTTGCAAGTTCAGGTGCACTAGTCTCTGTTGCTGTTGTCTGCAAACAGACACCGGAGTCAACTGTGTCAAATCTAGTTACACGATAACTTCAATAATGCATAAATCAAAGTCTCAACTCTCAAATCTAATTACACCTCATAAAACACTCTAAATATGATAATGAATTATTATAGAGTAAAAACCAAAACCAGAAAGAAGGGCCATTACGAAAATCATGAAACAATTATAAATTAATGAGTTCCACTACGGTGTATTCACTAATATTGGCTGCATGTTAAATCCAGATCTCAATCAATCACATTAAAATCTGCTACCTTTTCATTGGTTCACATTTTACAAAATATACTTGCCATCACATTCAACCAATCATGTCTTTTCCATAGGTTTAGCCTAAATTAATATGCATAAAAGAAATTTTAATAAATTATCATGTGCAAGTGCAACTAATAAATTTTAATTACGAAAATTGTTTTGAATTTTATTTCTATAAACTAAAAAAATTAAGAGAGATCCATCTTTTTATTATAAATTGTTAATGGATCCATGGGTTTGATATTATCAAAATCATGCAAAAATAAAGAAATAAATGATCATCTAAGACTTGTTCCAACAATATGGGTTGGCTACATGAGTCCTGTTCCACCGTTCTGCCCTGTTTAAAACAGGGCACTTTTACACTTTACCTCTCTTAAAAAAAAGTACCATATCCATAAAATCATGCAAAAAAAACAATGAAAATAAATAATTGTTAGCAATATTCAATTTCCCCTAATTTTTAGGAAAACATATAGATCTACTTACACAATCAATAACATCATAGTTTCAACAATAAATCAACAAATCCATGCATTTACAAGCATCCAAATTTATATACTTAAACTCGAAGGATTAAATGAAAAGATTTGAGAAAACATTTTCCTTGTTTGGTGGAATTTAGTACCCAAACCCACTTTGATTTGAAAAGAAAAATCAATTGCAAGGTCTTTTTTCCTCAAAAAAAAAAAAAAAAAAAAAAAGAAGTTTAGATCCTAGGTTGTTTTGCTTTTAGGAACTTCTTCACCAAGTTTCAACCGAAACAAATGAGGTTTGGTAGGTTTATGTTGCTTTTTTTTGTTTGGATCAAATATTGATGCATATCAATGAGTATTTTAATCAAAGCACATTGACGAGTATCAGTTAATAACCTATTAATAAAAAAGTTTCAGCCCATATCAGATTATAAGCATACACTTGGTTGGCATAGAAAATCATCTCACCTATGTTAGTATAAAGTGAGTAAACTTTTGATATAACCAAGTCATAACCTAGGCTACAACTACCCAATGAAAGTTGGCAATCTAACTATGCTTAGGACAATCTTAAACTTCACATTACAAGAGCATGGAAACATAGGTAAAATTGGAGGCAGACCCAGAAAATTTAAACAAAGGGGGCATCAGAGAGAAACTTTTAAACCTTTGGTCAAGCCAACCATATATTTCATAATCCCTATGTAGATATTTTTCATAAATAATTTGCCCTGGGTGGCATGGCCAAATCAAATGGATAGAGATAGGCACAGCTGCCTAGGCTACAACTTGACTTGGTCGGTTGTAGCAAAAGTGATCTTATATATAGAGTCTGATAGATCTGATTATAATTGGATCAGGACTGTTTTATGCAGTTCCAGACCAATTATGACCCGAACTGATTATGTATTTAATAACAATAATAAATTAATAATATAAAGGGTAAATTTCATGGTTGGGATAAGGCTTAGATAACGATGATGATAAAGGCCTTATGGTTTTTCTTGTAATTTTTGTTATACTTTATGCCTAAAAGGGTAAATTTCGTACATAAGAAGATATTAGATAAAAGAACAATTGTTTTATTAACATATAAACAGGTTTACTATTTACTTTCTTCTTATAGAGGTTATATTATAAAAAATGGAGGTAACTATAGATGTCAAATACAACCGAGTCTAATCAGGCAAATGCTTGTTTTCTTAACATATAAACAGGTTTACTATTTGTAGAGAACACTGATGTGGGCCCCACTGCAGTGGTCCCCACTGTGTTCGTAGGACAGCATGTGTGGTTATTTGTTTCAGTTATAGTAATGTCAGTTTGAGTCAGTTTGTTAATTCAGTTGTTATTTATTTCAGCTTTTATTTACTTTATTTATTATGTAAGTACTAAGGGCAGATGTGTCCTTTCCATTGTGTACTAAACATAACCTATAAATAATAAGAAAGTGGCGGCGGCAGATCTGTTAGAATCTGTTCCTCCTTTCAACCACTTGTGTTCTCCTGTTCCTCTTCTATTCTCTCTTCTTTCTCTCACTTTTCTTCTATTTTGTAAACCTAAAAYCTATTAGGATTCAAGACTGATTACAGTCTTGATCTTCTACTCTATTTAATTTCTTCTTTTACAGGATATATTATCAAAAATGAAGTATCATTTTGTCATATTACAGGTAATTATAGATGTCAAATATAATTAATCTAATCAGGCCAGACCCAATTAGCCCAATTAATAATCAGGTTTTGTACTTTGGTTCTGGGTCTGCCTTTATAGAACCAATAGTGTCTGTCTGGTTTGGAACTGGGTCTGCATAATTGTCCCATCTGTTTGGGAATGGGTCCACCCTATCCCGTACCAGACCCGACCCATTGACAGCTTTTCTCATATAAGGTAACCAACAAGTATTATGGAAATATTTCTTTTCAAAAAAAAAAGTACTATAGAAATTAAAAAGAATCAATTGTCCAGCTCATTTTGATTAGAATAACCACTTAGTCAGCCAGAAACTGCAAACTGGTAATAGAAATTATTTTTTGACTTCATTGCAAGGTCCATTTTCCTGGTTTCTATCTTTTTTTTATTTTTTATATTTGACCTCTATCAAACTCTAGTTGGGTAGAATGAACTGAAAGGAGCATGAAATAGAGAATGGTGTGAACTTGAAAAGGAAAGAAAGAGTATTTCATAACAGAAAACCTTCATTTGGGCAGGATCAGAAACTGCCAAAAGACGCTTTATAAAAGTGTTCATGGCCAGCACCACATCCTCACCAGCACTACTTGTCAGCTCCTACATAAATTTAGCAAGCACCAGGAAGTCAATAACAGGCAAAAAAATGCAATAGCAAGGGAAAAACATCTCTAAATATTAAAGAATCTAACAAAGAAGTCGTGATTTTTGGAATGTAGTGGTAATTCAGATGGATCTGATTCAATGTTGTTTAGCATAAGAAAAGGCATTAACCCTGAGAAAGGTGGTCTGAGTAAAAGAATGATGATGATCATCCCATTTGGTCAATATTTGTGAGTGGGATTCATTGAACAATGTGTTCTATTGCCAGCATGTGCAGAAAAGTCCACTAACCCCCTAAAAGCATCCTTCAATATTTTTGTTTTTTATAACTTATGATTTTTTTTTCATAACTTTACTTCTTAATACTAATCCATAAAAGTTTGCATTGTGCTATCAAGGCACATTGACTTCTGAAATAAGATGCCATGCTTCCCTCATTTGATCTTTGTGATTTGGCATATGCAACAGCCACAATTTGGTGCCTTGAATGGTTGCAAGTTGAAGGGGCTAGAAGGGCTGGGGGTACCCCAGGATGGAGTTCTTTACTTATGATTTTTTTTTCATAACTTTACTTCTTAATACTAATCCATAAAAGTTTGCATTGTGCTATCAAGGCACATTGACTTCTGAAATAAGATGCCATGCTTCCCTCATTTGATCTTTGTGATTTGGCATATGCAACAGCCACAATTTGGTGCCTTGAATGGTTGCAAGTTGAAGGGGCTAGAAGGGCTGGGGGTACCCCAGGATGGAGTTCGAAGGACAAGAAGGGTTCACCTACCAGTAAGTGGAGAGAAGCTCTGAGAATAGAAAATAAAGAAGTGTTGCTGGAGGAGATATTCTACCAAAAGGACTTTACGATTAAGACTAGAGAAGGAAAGAGAGGAACGGTTTTGTTGGTGGGAGATGCTGTTCCTTGGTTTCTAGGTTTTTTAGATGGAGCTGCCCAAGTGAACTGGTGTGAAGTGTGGAAAGGTACGCTAAGGCAGGTCAGGAGAGAATACATAGCTAAGAGAAGAAAGAACAACAAAGGATGGTTTGTTACTCTGGAAGAAAAGTTCGACAAAAGGAAAAGGCAAACAATAATTATCCCTGAAGGTGCTCGGCAGCAGGGATGGTTAGTGGTGGCTAATGCTATACACAGGAGATTAGTCAGCAAGGAATCAGGGACCGTGACGGTACAAGCAGAGAAAGTAGTTGGTGGACAGAGTAAGAAAGAAGAGATGACAGAAAGAAGAAAGAGACTGGAGAGGCTGGGCTTAGAAGACACAGTGGAAAACCAAGGGAAGCGAACAGTGGCGTTTACAATACCAGACCAAAAATCGCTTTGGCTGGGGAGAAGGGAGCCTGGGAGAAGAAACTCATTTTATCTGTGAGGAAGGAGGTGAAGGACTGGAAGGGGCTGTTAGAGGAGGTGACGATGAAGCTTGGGTTAAACCAGACGGTCACTCTTATTCCATTCAACGATAGAAAAGCAGTCCTTGATGTGGGGGAGGTGTCAATGGACTTCACCATGCTGGATACGAGTGAAGGACCTGTTAGATTTGAAAATTGGTGCCCCCTTTCGATTGAGGTTGCTGCTGTAGAAGGCAGTTTCAAGCTGAAGCTGCTAGGGCTACCTTTTCATCTCTGGCAAAAATTCACCCTGGAGAGACTGGTGCGAGCGATGGGTGGTGTTCTCCTGTCGTACAAGACTACAGATCTGAGAGCAGTTCTTTTGAGAGTTGCTGGAATGAAGCCTGAGGAAGTTCCAAGGGTACTACAACTATGCGCAGAAGGATACTGGTATAAAGTCTGGGTGAGTTTGGAAGTTGAAACGTTGCAGTGGATGGGGAGGTCGAAGCTTGAAGGAGATGATGAAGTGGCAAGATGGGTTACAGTTGGCGGGACTGAGCAAAGGAAGTTTGGACATGTGGCAACTGCTGGAGTGAAGCCTTCATCAAATGTGGAAGCTGAAAAGTCGAATGCCAAAGTAAAGAGGCATTTTTGGAAAAGCTTTCAAATTTTTTTGAAAACAAAAACAACTTTACAGCTGGATTGTCCTATGCGGAGTTGGTCAAAGGAGTAACCCAGTCAGACCAAGGGGCGGTTCGAGTCAGGTCCAAGTTCGAGTTTCTCACTACACATTCTGACCCGACCGGCTCAGTTCCGGGTCGGTTGGTTCGTAATGAGATAAGGGCCCACAACACTTCTTCGGATTCATGTGACCACTTACTTAAGTGGTTACGTGAGTCGTTTTTATAAGCAGCCGTTGATAGACAATTCCAATTGCCTATCTTCTTCCTCACGAGATTCGATTGCTGGGGACCGAAAATCACTTTCAGCCAGCTAGAGTCCTTCGAAGAAGACTCAGAGCTGGATTCCGGTGACGAAACATAGAGCAGACGACCGGGATGGGACAGAGGGAGATAGGCCAAATCCAAGATATTCCAGGGGGTGTAGGGAAGACTGTGAAGATGAGGACCACGGTTGGGTCAGTTGTGGCAGCTTAGAGGAGATGTCAGACACAAACGATGAAGCGGAATTTCAGTGTGACAAACGTCAAGGAGAGTTGGAAGACACCTTAAATACTGATATACTATTCTTAGAGCATGCAGCAGAGGATCCCTTATTGCATAAAACCTCCACTGGGTGCGGAGAGCTGAATGTTGCCGAGTGTGCTTTGAAAGACAAGGAGGAAAATCAAATACTAAGTAAGGAAGAATCAATCCAGGAAAGTAACTTAAGACAAGGGACCTGCAAGAGAAATTCGGTTGCTCACCAAAATTCGAGCAGAGATGGCACAGGTGGGGATAAACGACAGAGCCTCGGAAGTACGAACAAGGGTGAAGTCAGCCTATGTGGCGATCAGCTAAGCCCTATTCAGAGAGTGGGAGGACTAACCCTTTCATTTGTCTTTTCTCCTATTCCTTCAGACCCAGGTATGGTTGTGGTTTCGGTTTTAGATACTAATGTCTGCTCTGCCTGTGATGTCAGTCTTTCAGATTTCAGTTGTGCCCCTGTGCTGAATACCCAAGGATTAGAGGCTGACAATGAGGAGGGTGGGGAGTTACAGGAGGGGGGTAAGAAGGTGGTGAGGGTAGGGAAAGCAGATTCAATTGAATTAGCTAGGGGGGAATCTAAAGAGGGCAGTGGTAAGTTGGAGAAGGAGGAGGGGAATAGGAGGAGTGAGGTAGGGGGGGGAAGAAAGATAAGGGAGAGGAAGAAGAGGAGTCATTAGCTAAATTTGTAGAAAAGTTAGGTTGCAAGGTGAAAGATTTGAATGAACTGAAAGGGTATTTACGGGCTGAAAAAGATGGAGGGAATAGGAGGAAGAGAAGGTTAGGTGAAGCTGAGAAACTGAAGTTGGAAGTGGATGAGGGCAAAGAGGCTAGAGTAAGGAAAGGGAGGGGAAGAAAAGGAGGCTATTAGAAGGAAAGGGAGTGGGGTTAAGCAGAGGTGTTGAAGAAATGAAGATTGTAAGCTGGAATGTGAGAGGGTTAGGGGGTGCAAGGAAAAGAGCTTTAATAAAGGAGGTCTTAAAGAAAGAAAACCCAGACATTGTTCTAACTCAGGAATCTAAACTCATGTCATTTGATAAGAGATGGGCTAGGAGTGTGTGGAGAGTGAACAAACTAAGCTGGGTTATGAGCCCTTCTTGGGGCTCATCTGGAGGGTTAATTACTTTGTGGAAGGATGAAGTAGTGGAGGGAGTGGAAGAGTTAATGGAAAGGTTCTCAATTTCTATCAAATTTAAACAGGTGTCAGATGGGTTTGAATGGGTCCTCACCAATGCTTATGGCCCCAGTGGTTACAAACAAAGGAAGGAATTGTGGGAGGAATTGGAAGATATTACAGGTCTGTGGGAGGGGCCATGGTGTGTAGGAGGGGATTTCAATATGACTAGGTTCACTGAAGAAAGTAACAACGTGAGACAAAGGAGCATTACTAGCATGAGGAAGTTCAATGATTTCATTAATGCTTTTGAGCTAAAGGAATTGAACCTTCTTCATAATAGCTTTACTTGGTCCAATCTCCAAGCTGAACCTATCTGCTCCAAATTAGATAGATTCTTGTTCACCACAGACTAGGAGAAGCATTGGGGAGATTTGGTGTCAAGGGCCTTACCTAGAGTTACTTCTCATCATTGGCCTATAATGATATTAAGTCTGATCTTGGTGGCAGTGGGCCTTCTCCCTTCAAGTTTGAAAATATGTGGTTACTTCACCTGGACTTCAAAGACAGTGAAAATTAGGTGGAATGAATGTAACCCGGAAGTCAATTGGGCTGGGATGAAATTCCATTGGAAGCTAAAAGAGCTGAAAGTCAAAATTAAGGAATGGAATACTCTACATTTTGGGGGAATAGAAGAGAGGAAGCAGCAGTTGATAAGCCAGATAGAAGAGTTAGATGCGAAGGAAGAAAGTGGATGTTTTGGGGATCGGGATAAAGAATTGAGGTGGGAGTTAAGGAAGAGCATGGAGGACACAATTTTCAAAGAAGAAGTAAGTTGGAGGTAGAAATCTAGACACAAATGGGTGAAGGAAGGATATAGGAAAACAAAATTTTTCCATGCAATAGCCAATGGTAGAAGAAAGAAAAACACCATATCTAAGTTGGAAGTTGATGGGACAGTCTTAACTCAACAGCAAGAGATTGTCGGGGCTTTTGCGGAACACTTTAAATCCATTTTCGGAAAGCCTTTGCAGGAGAGATTAAGGATCGAAGGGTTAAATTGGCCTAAGCTCCCTGATGAGTTGAGGTTGTGGCTGGAAAGAGAGTTTGACTTAGAAGAAATCAGGGATGCCATTTTCTCCATGGATAGATCTAAAGCCCCGGGCCCTAATGATTTCACGATGGCCTTCTATCAAGACTGCTGGGAGATAATTAATTCTACTTTTATTGCTTTAATTCCGAAGAAGGTTGGGACTTTTCACCCTAAAGAGTTCGGACCCATCAGTTTGGTTAACAGCCTCTACAAGATCATTGCTAAGGTGTTATCCAGAAGAATTAGAGTGGTGCTCCCCTCAATTATCTCCCATAATCAAGGTGCCTTTGTGATGAGTAGGCAAATTGTGGACCAAATCTTAATTGCAAATGAGAGTGTGGAGGATTACAAAAGTAGAGGTGAGAAAAGGCTGGTGTGTAAGCTGGATTTGGAGAAGGCATATGATCTGGTTGATTGGTCTCTGTTGATGGAAGTTTAGTCTTTTGGGTTTGGGCAAAGGTGGTGCAAGTGGATAAAAGGGTGCATAAGAACTTGCCATTATTCTGTGTTAGTAAACGGCAAAGTGGTGGATCACTTTCCAGCTGTCCGGGGTATTAGGCAAGGGGACCCTCTCTCCCCTTTCCTTTTTACCCTAATTGCCGAAGTGTTAGGGCGGCTTATTGAGAGGGCAGACTCCAGAAATCTGATTGGTGGTTGGAGAGTGGGGAGGGATAGGGTTCCATTTACTCACCTACAATTTGTAGATGACACAATTTTGTTTGTGATGGAAAGGAGATTAGTTGGGTGAGCAATCTAAAGATGGTGATAAGTGTTTGAACAAATGGCCAACCTCAAAGTAAACCTTGGTAAGAGCTGTGTGATTGGTATTAATATGAGTGAAGGAGAGGTGGAGGAAAGGGCCCGAGCGATAGGTTGTGAGATAGCTCATTGGCCACTGAAGTATTTAGGGCTTCCTTTAGGGGATAATCCTAGAAAAAGAAGTTTTTGGAATCCGCTTATTGACAGGTTCACTAAAAGGCTAGCTTCTTGGAAGAAGAACTACTTGTCTTTGGGGGGTAGGATAACCCTGATTAAGTCAACAATGGCAAACCTTCTAGTCTATTACTTGTCGGTGTTCAGAATCCCTGAAGGAGTTTGTAAGGAGTTGGAAAAACTAATGAGGGACTTTTTATGGGAACCCGGGGAGGAGAAAAGGGACCATAGAGTTAGGTGGGAGCTAGTTACAAGAGCTAAAAGTGAAAGGGGACTGGGGCTGGGGAAATTGAAGAAGAATGAAGCTCTGTTAAGGAAATGGTTATGGAGATGGTCCAAAGAAAAGGAGAATTTGTGGGCTAAAATAATCCTAAGCATTCATGGGCAAGAGGCAGCTGGTTGGGATCCGRGACTATCATCTAGGGCTTCAAGAGCCTCTCCTTGGAAGTCCATTCATGCCACCCTTCAGTCTTTTCTTCCCTTCATCAGGTATGATCTTGGTTCTGGTTTGTCTGTAAATTTTTTGGAACACACTTGGGTGGGGGATTTTCCTTTGAAAGAGCAGTTCCCCTCTTTGTATGCTCTGTCTAGGTTTAAAAATGAACCAGTAGCAACCTTTGCTACCCTGTCTAATTCTGCTATTGGTTGGAACTTGGGTCTTAGAAGGGCTCTCAAAGATTCTGAGTTGGAACCCATTTCGAATTTGCTTAAAATCTTGGATGAGGTAGCTCTTGAACCTTCCAGTGTGGACTCTAGGGTTTGGTCTCTTGTCCCTTCGAGTATCTTCTCCTGCTCCTCTTTTTTCAATGCATTGGCACAGCCTAGTCCGGTACCTGGGTCTTCTTTTCCAGTCTGGGAAGTTTGGGGTAGTCCTATCCCTCCTAGGGTAGGTGCTTTTTGCTGGGAAGCAATCCTAGAAAAGTGTAAACTTGTGACATACTTCAAAGGAAAAGGCCTAATTGGTGTTTATCTCCGCATTGGTGCATCTTATGTAAGAAGAATGGTGAAAGYTGTTATCACTTGCTTGTTTCTTGCCCTTTTGTTTCAGAGATTTGGTGTTGGTTCTTTTCTTTATTTGGTTGCAGGTGGCCCTCCCCTTCAAGTGTGCAAAGCTTGTTCAGTTCCACTTTAGTGAGGGGTTTAAAGAAGAGAGGTAAAATTTTGTGGAGATGTGCTAAAGCTGCTGTTTGTTGGATGGTCTAGGAAGAAAGAAATCAAAGATTATTTCATGACAAAGAAAAAAGCAAGGAAGCCCTCATAGAAATTGTTTATGTTAGGGTGGCACACCGGGTCAAGTCTTTGAAGCTTTTTGAAGCCTATTCGGTAGGAGACATCATTAGAAACTGAGAAGAAGTGGCTCGGTCAGCTCCTATGTCTAGTGCTATTAGACCTGTTTGGACTCCACCAGATTTGGGTTTCATCAAATTGAACTTTGATGGTAGCAGTGAAGGTAATCCAGGCCCTTCAGGCATAGGTGGTATTTTCAGGGATGAAGAAGGTCGAATTATTGCTATGTTCTCAGGATCTATAGGCTGGGGGGATTCTCTGAGAGCTGAAATCCTGGCAGTTCTAGAAGGAGGAAAAAGAGCTAAGCAGATGAATTTTAGTAAGCTGCTGGTGGAAGGAGACTCTCAACTGACTGTTAGTTGGTTGCAGAAGGAAGAGTCTAGCTTGTGGAAGTTCTCGAATGAAAGAAAGAAAATCAAGCAGCTAAATCAGAATATGATTTTAAGGGTTCAATGGGCCAAGAGTACTAATTCCATGGCTGACACCTTGGCTAAACAGGGGGTGGGAAGAACTAATTTCTTTTGGGCTATATTGTAATAGGTGTTTTCAGTTCTGTAAGAGAGGATTAAGATATCTTACCCCTCCAATCTGGTTGTAATTTCCATATATATTTTAATAAAATTACTGTTATTGATAAAAAAAAAGTCAAAAATCAGGAATATCATGTGCACGTTCTATATATGCAAAGTGGAACTAAGAAATATTTTAAACTGCTCAGAATGTTCTTTAAACTACCTAACAAACTTTAAACAAAGAATAAGAACACTCAAGAGTCCAATGGATAGGTTAGGTAGTGCAAAGTAGCCTATATTTTAAGCACTTCCATTTGAGATATACCCACAAAGGACTGCTTGAGACACCCATTAAGAAAGTAATATTAGTTTTACATCTGTCTGCCCCCAGGGCAGATCCCAAATACAGCTCTTCCCTATTTACTCCTTCCCTTGCCAAAGAGCCCACTGTAGATTTAGGTGATATTGGAGCCTGTTGTTAGAGTTGCTAGTGCTGTTAGGTTATTTTCTGCTGTTATTCTAGGGTGCTTTCAGCTTTTATTTATTGTTTTTTACTAGTGTGCTGCCAGGGGTATAGATGTATTTTTCCTTATTTTTTAATCTCTTTAATATAAATAGAACAGTGGGTGCCACCAGCCCAGATTTTTGGCTCCCAACTTCCTTCTCTTCTTCTTTCTTCCCTAGAAGAAAAAAGAGCCCATCTAACAAGGCATTCATGCTGGTTGCCAAGGATCTAGTCTCTCTTGTAGTATGGATAATAGTTTGCATGTATTGAGTTTCTCCTTCCATTTGGAAGTTGGAATTGAGCATATCACCAAGATACATCCATATTAATTTCCAGAATTTTCCAGCTTGCAACCATCAAAGTTTAGCTTGGCAGACGCTCTAATACTTTATTTGAAGCAAGTTTTCCAATGGATACCTAGATCTGCCAACAGCTTGCCAGATACTCTAGCCAAGCAAGGAGTGAATAGGAGTCAATTATTTTGAGCAAAACACAACTGTAATATAATCAGCATTTGGGGTAGTAGGCTAGGCCTACAATCTCCTTGGGATGCATGGTTGTATTGTATGTATATCATTCTTTGATTTGTTTTGGTATTAATTAGTTTGATAAATTATAACAAAGTATTGCTCCTACCAATCAAAAACAGTTTAGCTTTATATAGACTTGTCGAGGAAGCATCTAATCTATTTCAGATCAGTCTTTCTCTTCCTGTAGATAATGAAGTCATGTGCTGCCATCCTCAAAGGATCATCAAAGGTGAACAGATTAATTTCCACTTTGGATTGAACCAAATGAATCGCTCTTACTGTGATTCAATCAGAACTTGTTTCATTTGTGACTTTTCTGCAAAACTTGTTGCATTTCTTTCTTCCCATGTAGCACAAAGCACAGCAGCTCTTGCACATCTCCACAAATCGACCAGAGGAGTCAAAATAGACTATCAATTTCAGCAGAGGGAGTCCATCTGTCACCAAATAGAGAGAAGAAAAGGCCATTACCCAATAATGTGGCCCCTGGATCTGTCATATGTCTAAGTCTCTAGTCTACATCAACCCTATATCCCACCTTGTATAGGTGGTTTCTTGATTAATAATAACTGTTCAAACTTTTAAATTGTTAATAGCGAACTTGCCTATAAAAAGAAGGTTTATTTTGGATATGTGACTGAGGTATTTTGGTTCAAAATGTATTCAATGAACATAGGGTGGAGAAAGGAACATAGCTAGTACTTTTGAGTTCCAAAGAAATCTGCCACATAAAAAGACTCCTAGGTCAGCAGACTTTCACTAACCAACACAACTAGCACACATGTTGCTTTTTGAGGAGACATTAAGAGAGAAGTAGCATAGCTCAGCAAGAAGATATGCCAATGCAGAGCATCATTTGCATCTCAAAATTGCAGCAGGCAAAGTGAACTAGCTCAAAGTCTTTAGACTAGGATAGTTGGACCTAGCTACATGCAGGTTGGTTTTATGCCATCCATACAACAAACTAGATAAGCTTATCAATTTTTCCAGCAATTATATAGGCAAGTCAACAAGGACAATGTAAGGAACAAATTGAAGAACAAGTAATGGAGGTATATGGATGAAATTTTCCACCAGTGTTATATAATGTCAAGAAAATGACAACTAACCAATTTCCTTACCTTTAGATTTTGTGGTTCCAGGGATTTAAGATATTCCAATAGTTCATTTTGTCCAGTAGTAGATCTTCTTCCAAGTTGTGAATTAAGTTCCTCTATTTCTGCTTCAAGTAATTCAATGTATTTCACCGCATCTATTTTCTCAGGGCCAGAAACATTGTTCCACCTGATAACTTCACCTATGACCTTTTTCTGTGTACCTGGTGCATAATCTGGTAAATCCTGTGAGAGTGACAAGAACATACAGTGTAACAAATGAAATAATACCAACGTAAATATATTATTGCATCAAACTTTTCAACGATGGAGACTAGTAGAGTATGCTATAAAACAGAATGAACAAAATTTAGGAAGTCATAAGAATATATAGTGCAACATAAAAAATAATATAAGAGTAACAATATAATTCCATTTAACAAAAACTAGAAACATGGCAAGAAATCTTTTTGCTGAATATGCTTCTAGGCCAAAGGATTAGGCTTCGACATATTCGCAAGAGAAGATAGCAACATGGACCAAGCTGTCAATAAGATCATATTTTTTGATAAATCTGTCAATACAATCTTATTCCATATTTCCATAGCAAAATGATGAAATAATTAAGTAGAGCATTGCTTGTTAGACGGTAAATTTATAGTTTCTGGTGTACAAGCAAGATTGCTTGCTACAAGAATAATGTTCAGCCTCCCAGAGCTCCATCACCGACCACACTACAGGGGTTGATTCTTGAGGATTGAAAATGGATGTGATACCTGTTTCCATTACCATCACCGCCCCAAGCACCATAGTGTCATTACTGAAACTGAGCAACACAAAATTGCTCATAGTGTTATTCCTTTGGTCAGAAAGGAAGAGGTATTCAACTTTGGGGGAGAATACACTCTTGGGTTGCAGTGAACAGAAATTTTACAGATATACCTTACAGCTCTTTTCTGAATTCTACTTTGTTATTTTTTTAATGTTTGAGCAATATTTTTGTACAGGTAGAGGCAGTGTATTTACATGTAATATTTTTGTACATGTAATGTTTATTCAGCTGTTGGAGGAAAGTCTGAGAAAGAGAAAGAAAGGTCTATGCGGGGATTGAGTGAGAGGAGTATTTGGTCCATCTCTTTTTTTCATTTATGGTGGGGTGACTGGGTGAGTGGTTGCCTTGGTTCATGGTCTCAGGGTTATCACTTGCTTTCTTAGTTTGGGCTGGTGTCTTAAAGGGTGGGGGTGGATCCCTTTCAGTTTTAATTATATACAATGCAGTTAAATACCTATCAAAGAGAAAATGAGCAAAACAGATTGATGCCCATGTCCATCTCCATCCTTGCTTTCTGGGTTGCTTAGGGTGTGGGAAAGGAAAAGAGGGGATGATTTAATTTGCTCAGATATCTTTCAAGATCCTTTTGGCCTAGCCCACTATTAGCAACAGTAATGTGAAAGGAGATTGAAAAGTCACTGCATCATGTGAACCTTTCTCTTGATGTGGTAAACAGTAAACCAATGCATCCAAGATGTCATTCTTGTGCTGAATATGAGGTAAGCTAGAGACACAAGAGTGACCAAGTTGAAAAAAAAAACATGATCTAATCTGGAGTTCTCCTGAACAAAGAAAGATGACTCGGAGTTTGAGCACTGAAACAGAACCAAATTGCCATATGTATGATGATAAATTGATAACCAAAGTTGTAACAATAGGTGATACTTGCACCTTGTCTTCCATCATATAGGTAGAACACTTATAATACACTAATGATTTTTTGTCTTTTTGATAGATAACAAAATTGTGTTCGTTAGTATATATACAGATACATCCCAAGCAGCTCCTGTTAAAAAAAGTGCCTGTTCTGTTGGTGTTTAAAATGAAAAGAGAAATAATCTGAGCACACAACATCAATGATGCAAAAGGCAGTGTTTTGATTTAGCAAACTAGAACTATTGGCATAATTAAATACCCCCCTCTATGGGAAGAAAGAAACTCACGAATATTTTCAGATAAGGAAAGAACCATTGAAAACTTATTAGATCTAATTCTGTTAAGGGTGGCACATTGGTTGAAAACTATGGAACTGTTCTCAGATTATTCTGTGGCTGATTTGGTAAGAAATTGGAAAGAGAGCTTCCTCTGCCCTCTGTAAGAGGACCTGTAGTCCTTCGTGGTCCCCTCCTCCCTCTGGGTTCATATAACTGAATTTTGATGGTAGCTGTTTAAGGAACCCAGGGCCTTCTGGGATTGGGGGAGTGTTCAGGAATGAGGATGTGGCTATCATTGCTATGTTTTCAGGCCCAATTGGGGAAGGACTCTCTTAGGGCTGAGATTCTTGCAGCCCTGGAAGGTATCCAAAGAGCAAGGGAGTTGAACATCAAATGTTTGGTCCTTGAAGGTGACTCGGAGGTGGTGATTAGGTGGCTAAAGGAAGGAGACAGCTGTTTGTGGAGTTATAACAATGAGAAGAATAAATTCAAATGGCTGAGTAGGGATATTGTGGTTCATTACAACTGGGTGAAGAGGACTGCTAATTCTTTTGCTGATGGGTTAGCAAAGCAAGGGGTGAATAGGGATTCGATTTTTTGGGCCAACTTTTTACTTTTTTCCATTGTATTCTATTGGTGGGGAGTTAAGACTTTTTACCTCCCCCTTTGTACCTTAAGCTTCACATAGTTTCATATCATTAATAAAGTTTCTTGTTATTGATTAAAAAAAAAAGTTCACGGCCTGCTTAACCCCAAGTTCCACAAATCCCCTCTATAAAGCAAACACGCAAGGATGAGAGAGAAACAGGAGATATAATGTACCTCTGGTTGCATTTCAGAGACACAGAGAGAGAGTTCATGAATTATGGAATCCTGCCATAACTTTTTTTATTGATGACAACAAAACTCATTAAAAAAGAAGATAATAAAGACATACAAACACCATAAATAGAGCCAGACACCAAAGGTAGAGAAGAAAAGCCCCCAACCTCCAAACCAAATGACAAGCCCCAAGATACAGACAAGGTTATTCTATTAATCCTGGTATTTAAGTGACAAACAAGTTCAACACTCCAGGTATTATTATCAAACAGATAGAAACTACCATTGAGAAACAAGCACAACACTTTTTGATGTGCAATGCTGAAAGCAAAACTAGACCCCAATGGCAGTGTCATAGCATTTACTCTCTGAAGCCTGATGAATGATACTGATCATGACATTGAAACACTTGCATTACAAATTGCCAAGCAATAACCACAATAAATATAGCAACTAATCCATAGGTCCTCTGCACCACAGGCAACTTAAGACGATGGACATTATCATTAAAAAACAGCATATTTTGTCACAATCTGCTAAATTTTCATGAACAAATCAACATTTATCAAATGATTGGATGAAAGAACCAAGGAATACATTCAGGTCTACACTGACTAGCAGAGGTCAAACTTATTACTTCTAGGCAACTCTAGGAGACAGCTATTAAGCAAAAGGTCAATACATAAAGAAAGAACATCAGAAATCCAATTTTCCTTGATGCCAGGAAGCTCAACTATTGATATTTCATTTTTAGGCAGTTGACGGAAAAGTTCACAGGGAAAAGGAAACGCCCTAACACAGTCCAGTCTTTGTTGACTCTGGGAAAAAAAAGTATATGATGAGATTCTAAAGATAATTTTTCAATGGCAAAGTTCTAAGTTTTGATTTCAAGGGTAAAAGGGCCTTCAACTGAACAGGTTGACAATTTGACATAGATTAAGGATATCATGAATGAACAGTAAGTACCGCAAGAAGAACATGGAGAAATAAGTGACTTTCTGACAACTGTCTAATATCAAGGATTGGAATTGGGTATATACATTAATAAGAAGTATGATAAAAAAAATAGGTATGCAGAAGGACCCATTGTGTATGTTCCTTTTCTAATTGGTAACCAATCAGGTTTTATTAATCATACAAAAAGGATAGAGGATTACAGGGAACATGGAAAAATAAATAAAAAGAACACAGAAATCAGCATAGACCAAAAAGGCAACATATGACAAGAGCCAGCCTCACCCTGTTGCTCATCCCAACAAAAAAGACCCCTAGAACTCAGAGTAAATTGGATTTTGCACATAACATGGTTCTAATTGATGAGCAGTGTTATCAAAGTGTCAACTAGTCTTTGACTAGTCAGCAGCTGAGGGTCATACTGACTACATCACTAACTAGTCGATCAATACTCATCATACAGTCACCTAGGACAACTAAGCAACAACTAGGTCAATTAGATGGTTAACACCCATCATCCTAGTAAACCACGTCATTTATTTGTTTGTACCTCTAATTATTTGAAATAATATAAAATATGTCAATATTTTGTTATATATGTACTGTTGCTTTAAATATTCGTGATGGAACATGATCCATTGATGGTATATAAAATAGAAAAAAAAAAGAATAAAATAAAATAAGGCAGTGGTTTTTACATTGCCACAAACAAAGGGAACACCAAATAGTCAATGTTGCACTCTTTCTTTAAAGAACAAAGGCTGCAATTCCCTATCCTAGGATATCCTAATTATTTATGTTTGCAAAACAAAGACTATAAACAATGTTAGTGTCGAGTATGTAGGGGTATTTCTGTCTTTATACTTATGTTGAGGTTGCCGATCTGTAACATTATATTAGAACTAGTGTCCCTCACTTAAGTAAGGGCACATGTGTCTTTTCCATTATGTTAGTAATATAAAACATATCTGGCCGAATGGGAGAGGTAATTTTTCTCTCATTCGAACCAGACTTTTCTTCTCCTTTCTCTCTCTCTTTCTTTCTTCTTTCTTCTTCTCTCTTCTTGGTTGTTATTAGACTAACAGAACTCAAGGGCAGGCCGAATCATAATAAACAAAATATTCAATATCATTGTTTTCTTAACCATAAATTTAGAATATAACTTTTCTTCATCAACTAATGCCTAGGCACCAACCAATCATCATATTGACTAGAAAAGCCAAAACAACTAGTCGTTGCCTCACTGCACTGATAACACTAATGATGACATTAGAGGGGACATTTCTTTGATAAGTAAACAAATCCTTTTATTAAATTAGAAATATTAGCACATACATGCAGCCCTTGGAAAGGCACAAGCTGCGATCCCTCCACTAAAGAAGAAAATAAAAACAAGAAGTTACAATTGTGCCCAATACGAAAGTTCCCTAGCTGCCCCTTGCTTGGTTAGACAATCCGCCATAGTATTTGCTGATCTCCCCACCCATTGTATTCTTAGACACATGTTTCTTGTCAGCATCCTAAACTTCTTAATTTCATTCCGGAAACACCAAATTACTGACTCTGAGTTTTGCAACCAGCTTATTACTACCTTGGAGTCAGCTTCAACTATTAGTTGTTCCACCCCTAATTGAGTTGCAAACTGTACACCTTGCAGGACAGAAAGTAATTCTGCTCTAGTAGAGTCTCCCACTCCTATAGGACCTGACAAGAAAAGTATCGCATTTCTAACTTCATTCCTTGATACACCACCCAACCCAAAGGGGCCTGGGTTTCCTTGACTGCTTCCATCAAAATTCAGCTTTAACAAACCTGCAGGAGGTGATGACCAGCTTGTTCTTACTCTAATCTTGGAAAAGGCACAACTTGCCACTACTGCCCAATTCCTCCAAATATCATTAAAGGAGAATTGGTGGAACAAGTCCAAAGATTTCAGCCAATGGATAACCCTATACAAGACATAGTCCTTAATATGGTTCCTTTCCTTCTCTTGGAAAATTCTAGCATTCCTTTCTTTTCAAATTGTCCAAATCAATGCAGATCTTACACCTTAACATATTTTACCTCTTTTCTACTGCCAAACAAAGGTAAAAGGATCAAAAAGCAATCTTAATTTTGTTGACAAATTCCACCTGCTCCCAAACAAAGATAGGAGCCAATCCCATAACTCTACAGTAAAAGAACAAGAAATTAGCAAATGATAACAGTACACTTCCCAACAAAAAGCCATAACCTTAGGCAGAATAGGCCTGCACCAAACTTCCTTAAAAGGGAAGGCCAGTTAAGGGTTAGAACAGCAAAGGGATTTGAAGAAAGAAGCACAAGAGAAGGACCCTTTCAACCAAGGTATCCAAATTCTTTTGTTGGGTTCAAAGAGGTTTAGACAAACTTTCTTAAGAAGGCTCAATAAACTAGCTAAACACCTGATTTCCTCATCCCTTAAACCTCTACGGAACCCAAAATCCCACGTTGGAGCCCAAGGAGTTTCCAACATGGAGAAAAATTTGGAAACAACTTTTTTGTACCGAGAAACCGAGAACAAGGAGGGGAAAAGGACCTTCAGGGGGACATCTCCAACCCACATATCCTCCCAAAAAAGGGCAGAATTGCCTTGCCATCAGACACATCATACCGGATATAACTAAGGAACTGAGGAAGAATGCGATGCACTGCCTTCCAAGGGATTGCCATTATTGCCCACCTTGATAAACCAGCATCCCATCCAATCTCTGAGCATTGATAAATGCTTCCGATCACCTCATGCCACAATCTCTATCACTCTAAAGGCCACCTCAACAGCCACTTCCCTAGTAGGGCTGTGTTTTTCTAATTAAGTTCCCTAAACCCAAGCCCCCTTCCTCTTTATTCCTACGCACCACCTCCCACTTAATTAAATGATCTTTCCTACTTTCCCCTGGTTCCCAAAGAAAGTCTCTCATTAATGCAAAGTTAGAAATCTGGATCAATGCTTTAAAATCAAAAGCTCTCAAAATGAACTAAACTGTGGTAAGCCATGATTTTAGTATGGTAGGAGAAGAAAAAAGGAAATAATTAAGATTGGAAAGAAGGAATTTCATAGAGTAACCAAATTCATGCTTCAAGAGTAATGAAGCATGTTGATGCCATTAAAGTTAAAATCTTACAGGATGCTTATAAGACCAGAAACACTGTGGGGAATAAACTGCTAAGCAATCAAGAAATAAGAAATCCATAAAGTGTGTGTAGTCGAAGTAACATTGTGAAAATGAAACAAAGCAAATGAAATTTACTTGAAGTAGTTTAGAAAAATGAAACAAATAAAAATGAACGTACAATTGGGATAGAGAGATTTAGTGCAATTTTGAGGTTCTGGAAGCATAAAGGGAAGGCCAAAACGACTTGGGTATGGATATTCAGAGTATATTTGATAGGGCATTAAAGAAAAAACACTCAGAGGAATGGAGGAATATTGTTTCTACAACCAAACCACTTTGTTGAGATAAGGGCAATGATGGTGAGCAAATTCTTTACATGCCATAGTATGTTAATCATAAAATTAGTACCATCATTGATTTGGCCTTATATGAATGAGCTCCATTGAAGATGTTAAAGGTCAAAAATCATTCTTCAATCATATTGTTTATGGCCACATAGAAAATGAGAAACATTAACAAAATAAGTTGTTGATTTGGGTGGCAAAGATTATCCCATTCTACTGATTTTCCTGCTAGGAAGTCTCCCATACGGTCACATCCCATGCTCATCTTCCCTCAAATTCATCCAATAGTTTTCCAAGAGTATAGTAGTCTGCCATATCATATACATCCTACTATGGACAAAACACATAACTGCCTACAAGTCAGAGAAAATAAATATTACCTTTTTGTCTTGTGCATCTGGAAGAGCAACTTGCTCCAAACTTTGTTGCAGTTCCAGACGATACTGCGCATTCCTAAACATGTACCCAGTCATCATAACACTGTACATGAGCTGTGCTAGATTTTCTGCAACCTGAATCAACCACCAAGTGCCCTATTATTAAATGAATATGAAAGATACAAGATGCATCGATACTAAAAAGTTGATATTAGAATAGTAGTGTGGTAATAGGTAAATAGTACATTCTCTTTTTATTATATTAAGTAGGGATATATTTTGCCTTTTCACTGGGGACATATAATTAGTTATTAACTCCACAGATCGGAAAAGCATCATTTAGCCTGAAACATGGTAGTGAACTTACAGTGGTAACTGTTACTGCAAAAAATTGTGGGGGAAGAGTACCAATCATATTTGTTACTGTTTGACGCATTGCATCAACTACCTACATAGGCAACCATGAAGGGAAAGAAATCAAGCAAAGCAGCATGAACTTTTATAACCTGAGACCATTATTATCATAATATCCATAGCTAATTAAGAATAAATAAAGGCATATCAAAAAAAGATGCCAGACCTGCTGAGGTGCTCTTTTGACAAACAACTCCATAAATTCTGGCTGCACATTTTTGACATACTCCAACAGAATTTCCCTCCGGCTTTTGGGCTGGTGACAGCCAAAGGAAAAGTCAAGGATTGTAATGCAAGTACCCACTTCCATTTAAACAAACCATGATTAGTTGCCTGTCTAGGTGTTGAACCAAGCAGGATAATCTGAGAAATGTCTGAAACAATGAACAGAGATGCTTAAAATGGAAAAAAAATATGGATATCTATCTTCTGTGAGGAAAAATATTGCACTTATGAAGACTTAGTTTTCAAAGTCATATGACCACTGCTCGAGTCAGGTTATTGGGGCTGCGAGGCTTTAAGACGGCTCAATTTCTTTAGCCGTACCTAAAAATAACTCAAAGGATTTTAGAGTGGAAGAACCAAATTTCCAAAACAACTTACATAATTATTTCATTAATAAAAGGGATTGTCTCCCTGGTTATCAGTGTAGTGAAGATCCTCTCCAGTTACTCCTTTCTCAGCAAGACCCAAATTCTCTACAGTTTAATTGCTACGGTAACCTACATTTCTAGGCAAATTAATTCTCAAGGAGGGTGCTTTCCACCTAATTTTCTGCGAGACTATGGAGCATTATTTGGGGACTCTATTTCATCTAGAATTCTGTAAAACTAGTCTGAGCTTATCTAAAAATTTCAAGTTCAGGTTGATTGAAGTAAAGTGCGTTGCTCCCATTTGGTTCTCTATTTTGATTCTACTTAGACCACCATTATACACATTTCCATCCATCAATGGCTGCAACCGGAAAGGAAAAATAAAATAAAATAAATCAAACAACAATCAATATTATATGCAAATACATAGATGAACAGATGGGTGGACAGATGGAGGCAGGAAGTACCAGAGTGCCGTTTGGGAGTTTTGTATCGCCGGTATCGGAAGTTTTGTCGTCGGAAGAATTGTAAGCGCAAGCTTTCAAAACGCATCTTCCGTTGGTCTTCCTTGGGAAGCTGAATGAAGATGAGAAACGAGAACGAGATGAGAAGACGTGTGGCGACGGTGATGGATATATGGTGGAGGCCTTCACTGTCAACGAAGACATCTTCTTTCGTCTTTCAAAAACCCTATTCTTGTTAATCTTCTTCGGTAGTCTCCATTAACATGTGAACATTGCTCAACTTGTCCAACTGAAGAAGGGCTCGGCAGACTGTTCCCCACTCCTCGTTGATGAGAATTTACGCCGGGTTGAAAACCAGTTCAGTGACCACTCCCGAGAGCTCGGAAATGCACCAATGGTCCCTCTTTTTATCGACAAAATCAGATTTTCGTAAACGGGAGTAGTGGTCTATAAGGATTATTTTGGAAGACAATATATAGTCATCCTCTCAGGGGGCGTTTTTTTCTTGTTGCCGTTCCGAAAACAAATTCAAACGATTTCGTTTGATAACAGATTGTTTCTTAAAACAAAAACAGAGCTTAGCTGTGTACATGTTTTTTGTTATTAAAACTGAAACCAAAAATATATTCTTGAATCTGGTTTCAAAAACATGTTTTTATCTCATTATTCAACATCATATTCTATAAATCATATAACTTCTATACTAAAATTTTTGTTTTCATTTTAAAACTAATAATTTCTTGATTTTAAAATCATGTTTTGTTTTTCAAAACAAAATCAACTTGTTTTTTACTTTAAAAACAAAAAACAGGATTCAATAACACATTTTTATTTCTTTTTTGGAAAATTCCCCTTTAGTATCCTGAACTTTCAGGGTAGTGTCAAGTTAGTACCCAAACTTTTAAAAGTGTCACTGAAGTACCTAAACTTTCAAAAAGTGTCAAGTTGGTCCTTGATGTTAACCAACCATCAATTATATGTTGAAAATGTCAAAACTGCCCTTCAAAATAAGACATTGTTCATTGTCTTCTACCTTTAGACTGAGCCGGTTATCTTTAAAGAAAAATAGAGAGAAAATAATTTGAAATATGATAGAGGGAAACAATAATTGAAAGCAAAGAAATAACTATACATTAATGTGTTAGATCTAAAGGTAGAAGACAAAGATTTCATTAGTTTATAATCTCAAACACCTCAGCCGGTTCAATCTCAAGGTAGAAGACAATGAATAGTGTCTTCTTTTGAAGGGTATTTTTTACATTTTTAACAGATAATTAATTGTTGATTAACAGTAGGGACCAATTTGACACTTCTTGAAAGTTTAGGTACTACAGTGACACATTTGAAAATTTGGGTACTAACTTGACAATTGACACTACCCCCAAAGTTCAAAGTAATAAAGTAGAATTTTCCCTTTTTTTATGATATGGCAATTCCAAAAACAAATAAAAAACAAAAACATTAATGTTGTAGACGCCCCCTAATCCATTATTCCATTGATTGTTGTATTGGGGTCCATGACTCCGCTTGTTTGTGGTAAAAGTTTGTAAAAGCTTGATTTATTGATGAAAGTATGTTGATACTTGACCTATTGGCTTTGAGAGAAGACACTAGACACAAGCAGGGCCGCCTCTTTCCTAGAGGTGTAAAGTGGGTCGTGCTGGGTTGGCACAACACGGCCCGTAGGCAGGCCATGTCGTCCTCCTCAGTGGAAATTTTGGGGGTTGGCCCAGTACGACCCATGGCCCAGGCCCAAGCGGGCTCGTGCCGTGTCATGATGGCACGCGGGCCTGGGCCGAGCCAGGCTGCAAGCCGTGCCGTGGGCTTGAACCGTGTCAGGCTAGGCCACAGGGTGGACCTTGGGCCTAGGCCGAACCGGGCTGCACTATTTTTTTTTTTAATTTTTTATTTCTTTCTAAGTAAAATTGTAAAACTACAATATTTAACTTTCCTATGAACTTTGGGAATTAGGAACTATTTAAAAAATTAAGAAATGAAAAATATAAGTTATTTAATATATAAATGAAAAAAAAAACTTAACCAAATTGAAATAAGAATGATGGAATAACAAATTGGAAGAAAAATATGAATTTTATTTCATTTAAATTTGAACTTTACAAATTAGTNTCTATCCTTGATGGTCATTCCCCATTCACTACCTTGTTTCCCACCTTGTCTCCGTTTCCTCTTTCTCCTCGGGTTTTTGGGTGTGTCTGCTTCGTCCATAATCTGGGCCCTGGGAAGGACAAGTTAGATGCACGTTCCATTAAGTGCATCTTCCTTGGCTATTCCCGGACCCAGAAAGGGTATAAGTGTTATCATCCTAATTCTCGACGTTCCTTTTGTGTGTGCTGATGTTACCTTCTTTGAGTCTACTATGTTTTTCTTGGGGTCCGGTGATGTTTCTTCCTCCTCTTCCACTTCTAGTTGTGGATTCTGTTCCTCTTGTTCCAGCTGTGACCAAGTCCTTGCCTCCAATGCCACCACCTGTTGAATGGCCACCTATCCGTCAAGTGTATACACATCGCCCACATGTACTGGCTGCTCCTCCTCCAGTTCAATCAACGTCGACAGATCCGGCAGTTGTCTCCACACCAACCCCAAACCCAGTATCTGATTTTGATCTTCTCATTACCTTGCGGAAAGGTAAACGCACTTGTACCATTCATCCTATTTCTAATTATGTTTCACTCACTCACCTTTCCGCTTCCCATCGTCAGTTTATCTCTTTATTATCCTCAATTGTTGTCCCTAAGGATGTCTAGGAAGCCCTTGCCTCTCCAGGATGGTGTCGTGCAATGGAAGAACTCTCAGCTCTAACTCATAATCATACTTGGGACCTCACCACTCTTCCTCTTGGGAAGAAGGTTGTCGGTTGTAAGTGGGTATATACTATTAAGTATTTACCTGATGGTAGTGTAGAGCAACTGAAAGCTAGATTGGTTGCAAAAGAGTACTCCCAAACCTATGGTATTGACTACACAAAGACCTTCTCCCCAATTGCTAAAATAGGTTCGGTTCGTGTTGTGATCTCTCTTGTTGCTATGTATGATTGGCCCCTCTATCAGCTTGATATCAAGAATGCTTTCTTGCATGGTGATTTGCTCGAGGAGGTCTATATGGAGCAACCACCGGGGTTTGTTGCTCAAGGGGAGGACAGTAAAGTATGCAGACTAAAGAATGCTATTTATGGGCTTAAATAGTCTCCTCAAGCATGGTTTGGTAGGTTCAGTGAGGTGGTAAAGAAATTTGGTATGAAACAGTGCCAAGTTGATCATTCAGTCTTCAGTCATGACTCTCAAGCAGGAAAAATCCTATTGGTGGTGTATGTAGATGATATTGTTATTACCAGGAATGATAAAATGGGCATTGACAGGCTGAAGACTTTTCTACAGGAACATTTTCAAACAAAGGACCTTGGTAAATTGAAATATTTCTTGGGGATAGAAGTAGCAAGGTCTAAGCATGGTATTAATTTGTGTCAGAGGAAATATGTGTTTGATTTGCTAGAGGAAACAGGTTTGTTAAGTTCTAAACCAGTTGAAACACCTATGGAAACAAATACTAAGCTGAGCAGTGATATGAGTGAAGTGTTTGAAGACCCAGGCAGATACCGGCGACTTGTAGGTAAACTGAACTACATAACCATTACTCGGCCAGATATTTCATTTGCGGTTAGTGTGATAAGTCGGTTCATGCAGAAACCTCTGGTTCCTCATTGGGATACGGTTCTAAGAATTGTGAGGTATTTAAAAGGGGCTCCTAGTCATGGTTTGATATACAAAAGTGGTGGAAAACTTGAAATAGAAGGATAAACTGATGTTGACTGGGTCGGTTCTATGTCTGATAGGAGATCTACCACAGGCTATTGCACTTTTCTTGGGGGTAATCTGGTGACATGGAAAAGTAAGAAGTAGACAGTCATGGCGAGAAGCAGTGCAGAGGCAGGATATAGAGCTATGGCACATACTACTTGTGAATTAGTGTGGCTAAGGAACCTTCTACAGGAGATAGGATACAATGCTAACACTCCAATGAAGCTCTACTGTGACAATCAGGTTGCAATTCATATTTCTTCTAATCAGGTGTTTCATGAAAGAACCAAGCACATAGAGGTTGATTGTCACTTTGTAAGAGATAGACATTGCACATGTTAACACAGGGAACCAGTGGACAGACTTATTTACTAAAGGGTTAAGTCGGGGAAGAGTGGACTACATATGTAACAAGCTGGGATTATATGATATATACTCACCAGCTTGAGGGGGAGTGTTAGTGTCGAGTATGTAGGAGTATTTCTGTCTTTATACTTATGTTGAGGTTGTTGATCTGTAATATTATATTAGNTGTCTTTATACTTATGTTGAGGTTGTTGATCTGTAATATTATATTAGAACTAGTGTCCCTCACTTAAGTAAGGGCACATGTGTCTTTTCCATTATGTTAGTAATATAAAACATRYCTGGYYRAATGGGAGAGGTAATTTTTCTCTCATTCGAACCAGACTTTTCTTCTCCTTTCTCTCTCTCTTTCTTTCTTCTTTCTTCTTCTCTCTTCTTGGTTGTTATTAGACTAACAGAACTCAAGGGCAGGCCGAATCATAATAAACAAAATATTCAATATCATTGTTTTCTTAACCATAAATTTAGAATATAACTTTTCTTCATCAACTAATGCCTAGGCACCAACCAATCATCATATTGACTAGAAAAGCCAAAACAACTAGTCGTTGCCTCACTGCACTGATAACACTAATGATGACATTAGAGGGGACATTTCTTTGATAAGTAAACAAATCCTTTTATTAAATTAGAAATATTAGCACATACATGCAGCCCTTGGAAAGGCACAAGCTGCGATCCCTCCACTAAAGAAGAAAATAAAAACAAGAAGTTACAATTGTGCCCAATACGAAAGTTCCCTAGCTGCCCCTTGCTTGGTTAGACAATCCGCCATAGTATTTGCTGATCTCCCCACCCATTGTATTCTTAGACACATGTTTCTTGTCAGCATCCTAAACTTCTTAATTTCATTCCGGAAACACCAAATTACTGACTCTGAGTTTTGCAACCAGCTTATTACTACCTTGGAGTCAGCTTCAACTATTAGTTGTTCCACCCCTAATTGAGTTGCAAACTGTACACCTTGCAGGACAGAAAGTAATTCTGCTCTAGTAGAGTCTCCCACTCCTATAGGACCTGACAAGAAAAGTATCGCATTTCTAACTTCATTCCTTGATACACCACCCAACCCAAAGGGGCCTGGGTTTCCTTGACTGCTTCCATCAAAATTCAGCTTTAACAAACCTGCAGGAGGTGATGACCAGCTTGTTCTTACTCTAATCTTGGAAAAGGCACAACTTGCCACTACTGCCCAATTCCTCCAAATATCATTAAAGGAGAATTGGTGGAACAAGTCCAAAGATTTCAGCCAATGGATAACCCTATACAAGACATAGTCCTTAATATGGTTCCTTTCCTTCTCTTGGAAAATTCTAGCATTCCTTTCTTTTCAAATTGTCCAAATCAATGCAGATCTTACACCTTAACATATTTTACCTCTTTTCTACTGCCAAACAAAGGTAAAAGGATCAAAAAGCAATCTTAATTTTGTTGACAAATTCCACCTGCTCCCAAACAAAGATAGGAGCCAATCCCATAACTCTACAGTAAAAGAACAAGAAATTAGCAAATGATAACAGTACACTTCCCAACAAAAAGCCATAACCTTAGGCAGAATAGGCCTGCACCAAACTTCCTTAAAAGGGAAGGCCAGTTAAGGGTTAGAACAGCAAAGGGATTTGAAGAAAGAAGCACAAGAGAAGGACCCTTTCAACCAAGGTATCCAAATTCTTTTGTTGGGTTCAAAGAGGTTTAGACAAACTTTCTTAAGAAGGCTCAATAAACTAGCTAAACACCTGATTTCCTCATCCCTTAAACCTCTACGGAACCCAAAATCCCACGTTGGAGCCCAAGGAGTTTCCAACATGGAGAAAAATTTGGAAACAACTTTTTTGTACCGAGAAACCGAGAACAAGGAGGGGAAAAGGACCTTCAGGGGGACATCTCCAACCCACATATCCTCCCAAAAAAGGGCAGAATTGCCTTGCCATCAGACACATCATACCGGATATAACTAAGGAACTGAGGAAGAATGCGATGCACTGCCTTCCAAGGGATTGCCATTATTGCCCACCTTGATAAACCAGCATCCCATCCAATCTCTGAGCATTGATAAATGCTTCCGATCACCTCATGCCACAATCTCTATCACTCTAAAGGCCACCTCAACAGCCACTTCCCTAGTAGGGCTGTGTTTTTCTAATTAAGTTCCCTAAACCCAAGCCCCCTTCCTCTTTATTCCTACGCACCACCTCCCACTTAATTAAATGATCTTTCCTACTTTCCCCTGGTTCCCAAAGAAAGTCTCTCATTAATGCAAAGTTAGAAATCTGGATCAATGCTTTAAAATCAAAAGCTCTCAAAATGAACTAAACTGTGGTAAGCCATGATTTTAGTATGGTAGGAGAAGAAAAAAGGAAATAATTAAGATTGGAAAGAAGGAATTTCATAGAGTAACCAAATTCATGCTTCAAGAGTAATGAAGCATGTTGATGCCATTAAAGTTAAAATCTTACAGGATGCTTATAAGACCAGAAACACTGTGGGGAATAAACTGCTAAGCAATCAAGAAATAAGAAATCCATAAAGTGTGTGTAGTCGAAGTAACATTGTGAAAATGAAACAAAGCAAATGAAATTTACTTGAAGTAGTTTAGAAAAATGAAACAAATAAAAATGAACGTACAATTGGGATAGAGAGATTTAGTGCAATTTTGAGGTTCTGGAAGCATAAAGGGAAGGCCAAAACGACTTGGGTATGGATATTCAGAGTATATTTGATAGGGCATTAAAGAAAAAACACTCAGAGGAATGGAGGAATATTGTTTCTACAACCAAACCACTTTGTTGAGATAAGGGCAATGATGGTGAGCAAATTCTTTACATGCCATAGTATGTTAATCATAAAATTAGTACCATCATTGATTTGGCCTTATATGAATGAGCTCCATTGAAGATGTTAAAGGTCAAAAATCATTCTTCAATCATATTGTTTATGGCCACATAGAAAATGAGAAACATTAACAAAATAAGTTGTTGATTTGGGTGGCAAAGATTATCCCATTCTACTGATTTTCCTGCTAGGAAGTCTCCCATACGGTCACATCCCATGCTCATCTTCCCTCAAATTCATCCAATAGTTTTCCAAGAGTATAGTAGTCTGCCATATCATATACATCCTACTATGGACAAAACACATAACTGCCTACAAGTCAGAGAAAATAAATATTACCTTTTTGTCTTGTGCATCTGGAAGAGCAACTTGCTCCAAACTTTGTTGCAGTTCCAGACGATACTGCGCATTCCTAAACATGTACCCAGTCATCATAACACTGTACATGAGCTGTGCTAGATTTTCTGCAACCTGAATCAACCACCAAGTGCCCTATTATTAAATGAATATGAAAGATACAAGATGCATCGATACTAAAAAGTTGATATTAGAATAGTAGTGTGGTAATAGGTAAATAGTACATTCTCTTTTTATTATATTAAGTAGGGATATATTTTGCCTTTTCACTGGGGACATATAATTAGTTATTAACTCCACAGATCGGAAAAGCATCATTTAGCCTGAAACATGGTAGTGAACTTACAGTGGTAACTGTTACTGCAAAAAATTGTGGGGGAAGAGTACCAATCATATTTGTTACTGTTTGACGCATTGCATCAACTACCTACATAGGCAACCATGAAGGGAAAGAAATCAAGCAAAGCAGCATGAACTTTTATAACCTGAGACCATTATTATCATAATATCCATAGCTAATTAAGAATAAATAAAGGCATATCAAAAAAAGATGCCAGACCTGCTGAGGTGCTCTTTTGACAAACAACTCCATAAATTCTGGCTGCACATTTTTGACATACTCCAACAGAATTTCCCTCCGGCTTTTGGGCTGGTGACAGCCAAAGGAAAAGTCAAGGATTGTAATGCAAGTACCCACTTCCATTTAAACAAACCATGATTAGTTGCCTGTCTAGGTGTTGAACCAAGCAGGATAATCTGAGAAATGTCTGAAACAATGAACAGAGATGCTTAAAATGGAAAAAAAATATGGATATCTATCTTCTGTGAGGAAAAATATTGCACTTATGAAGACTTAGTTTTCAAAGTCATATGACCACTGCTCGAGTCAGGTTATTGGGGCTGCGAGGCTTTAAGACGGCTCAATTTCTTTAGCCGTACCTAAAAATAACTCAAAGGATTTTAGAGTGGAAGAACCAAATTTCCAAAACAACTTACATAATTATTTCATTAATAAAAGGGATTGTCTCCCTGGTTATCAGTGTAGTGAAGATCCTCTCCAGTTACTCCTTTCTCAGCAAGACCCAAATTCTCTACAGTTTAATTGCTACGGTAACCTACATTTCTAGGCAAATTAATTCTCAAGGAGGGTGCTTTCCACCTAATTTTCTGCGAGACTATGGAGCATTATTTGGGGACTCTATTTCATCTAGAATTCTGTAAAACTAGTCTGAGCTTATCTAAAAATTTCAAGTTCAGGTTGATTGAAGTAAAGTGCGTTGCTCCCATTTGGTTCTCTATTTTGATTCTACTTAGACCACCATTATACACATTTCCATCCATCAATGGCTGCAACCGGAAAGGAAAAATAAAATAAAATAAATCAAACAACAATCAATATTATATGCAAATACATAGATGAACAGATGGGTGGACAGATGGAGGCAGGAAGTACCAGAGTGCCGTTTGGGAGTTTTGTATCGCCGGTATCGGAAGTTTTGTCGTCGGAAGAATTGTAAGCGCAAGCTTTCAAAACGCATCTTCCGTTGGTCTTCCTTGGGAAGCTGAATGAAGATGAGAAACGAGAACGAGATGAGAAGACGTGTGGCGACGGTGATGGATATATGGTGGAGGCCTTCACTGTCAACGAAGACATCTTCTTTCGTCTTTCAAAAACCCTATTCTTGTTAATCTTCTTCGGTAGTCTCCATTAACATGTGAACATTGCTCAACTTGTCCAACTGAAGAAGGGCTCGGCAGACTGTTCCCCACTCCTCGTTGATGAGAATTTACGCCGGGTTGAAAACCAGTTCAGTGACCACTCCCGAGAGCTCGGAAATGCACCAATGGTCCCTCTTTTTATCGACAAAATCAGATTTTCGTAAACGGGAGTAGTGGTCTATAAGGATTATTTTGGAAGACAATATATAGTCATCCTCTCAGGGGGCGTTTTTTTCTTGTTGCCGTTCCGAAAACAAATTCAAACGATTTCGTTTGATAACAGATTGTTTCTTAAAACAAAAACAGAGCTTAGCTGTGTACATGTTTTTTGTTATTAAAACTGAAACCAAAAATATATTCTTGAATCTGGTTTCAAAAACATGTTTTTATCTCATTATTCAACATCATATTCTATAAATCATATAACTTCTATACTAAAATTTTTGTTTTCATTTTAAAACTAATAATTTCTTGATTTTAAAATCATGTTTTGTTTTTCAAAACAAAATCAACTTGTTTTTTACTTTAAAAACAAAAAACAGGATTCAATAACACATTTTTATTTCTTTTTTGGAAAATTCCCCTTTAGTATCCTGAACTTTCAGGGTAGTGTCAAGTTAGTACCCAAACTTTTAAAAGTGTCACTGAAGTACCTAAACTTTCAAAAAGTGTCAAGTTGGTCCTTGATGTTAACCAACCATCAATTATATGTTGAAAATGTCAAAACTGCCCTTCAAAATAAGACATTGTTCATTGTCTTCTACCTTTAGACTGAGCCGGTTATCTTTAAAGAAAAATAGAGAGAAAATAATTTGAAATATGATAGAGGGAAACAATAATTGAAAGCAAAGAAATAACTATACATTAATGTGTTAGATCTAAAGGTAGAAGACAAAGATTTCATTAGTTTATAATCTCAAACACCTCAGCCGGTTCAATCTCAAGGTAGAAGACAATGAATAGTGTCTTCTTTTGAAGGGTATTTTTTACATTTTTAACAGATAATTAATTGTTGATTAACAGTAGGGACCAATTTGACACTTCTTGAAAGTTTAGGTACTACAGTGACACATTTGAAAATTTGGGTACTAACTTGACAATTGACACTACCCCCAAAGTTCAAAGTAATAAAGTAGAATTTTCCCTTTTTTTATGATATGGCAATTCCAAAAACAAATAAAAAACAAAAACATTAATGTTGTAGACGCCCCCTAATCCATTATTCCATTGATTGTTGTATTGGGGTCCATGACTCCGCTTGTTTGTGGTAAAAGTTTGTAAAAGCTTGATTTATTGATGAAAGTATGTTGATACTTGACCTATTGGCTTTGAGAGAAGACACTAGACACAAGCAGGGCCGCCTCTTTCCTAGAGGTGTAAAGTGGGTCGTGCTGGGTTGGCACAACACGGCCCGTAGGCAGGCCATGTCGTCCTCCTCAGTGGAAATTTTGGGGGTTGGCCCAGTACGACCCATGGCCCAGGCCCAAGCGGGCTCGTGCCGTGTCATGATGGCACGCGGGCCTGGGCCGAGCCAGGCTGCAAGCCGTGCCGTGGGCTTGAACCGTGTCAGGCTAGGCCACAGGGTGGACCTTGGGCCTAGGCCGAACCGGGCTGCACTATTTTTTTTTTTAATTTTTTATTTCTTTCTAAGTAAAATTGTAAAACTACAATATTTAACTTTCCTATGAACTTTGGGAATTAGGAACTATTTAAAAAATTAAGAAATGAAAAATATAAGTTATTTAATATATAAATGAAAAAAAAAACTTAACCAAATTGAAATAAGAATGATGGAATAACAAATTGGAAGAAAAATATGAATTTTATTTCATTTAAATTTGAACTTTACAAATTAGTGAATTACAAATGCAATGATTGGATCATTGCATACTTGGATGAATGAAATATAATAATGGAATAAATAAAATATATAAAATACAATATGGTTACAAATTGAAAATACAAAATTACATTGTTAAAAATTTTAAAACAAGACTCCAATGGAATTGTAGACACCAGAGGGGTTAGTACATCACGTGCCATGGCGGCGAGGACCGGATAATTTTTCGAGTGTTCACTCCACCAAGCTAAAATATCGAAATTATTTGATACTTCACATAAATTAGAAAAATTTGCTTGCAAGTAAAAATTAAGTCCAGTAAATGAACTTGTTATAGAACTAGCATATTTCTGCCTTCTACTTATTAAATAAAAAAGATTTTCTCTTCTACTATTGGGCTCAAAGTTAGAAGGAGAAAAAGAAGATGATGAACAAGTTGTAGGAATATTCCTACAACTTCAGATTCATACAAACTGTACATTTCAAATAATAAATTATTAAATTCTTTTTTATTTCCTATATCAATATTCATATTTTCATAATATGTTTCAAGTAAAATATCTAAACCATATTTTTTTAATCATAGGGTCTAATATTTTTTTAATCATAGGGTCTAATTTTTAATCTAAATTATTAAATTCTTTTTTATTTCCTATATCAATATTCATATTTTCATAAATGTTCTCTCAATATTTTTTAAATTTATTTTCCATAATTTCAACAATACATTGAAATTGTGGATTATTTCCATATTTGGCAAAACAATCACTAATTACCATTAATTGATACGGTAAATTACAACTAGTTGAATAATAAATTCCAGATAACTCATTTGTTGCATCATAAAAATGTTTTAAAATATCTCTTATACAGATTGTCATTTCCCAATCTTCCTCAAATATCGTATCATTAAACATTTTAAAATTATACAAATTAGAAAGATTTTGTTTATAAGATATACAACTTTATAACATAGCATAGGTAGAATTCCACCTATGCTTTACATATAATATAAAATGTTTATATTTTAAACCATAATTTTGGTATAAATATTTAAGTTATTGTTTTCTTGCCCCTGAACTTTTTATATATATAATACAATTTATAATTTTTGAAATATGATTTGAAATAATATTCAAGGCATATTGAATACATAAATTTAAGATGTGACATTCACATCTAACATGAAATAATTTACTATTTAAGCATGGTTTTAATTGATATTTTAAAATATTTATTGTAGAATCATTATTGCTAGCATTATCAAAACTAATAGAAAAGTATTTAAAATACTTGCAGCAATAGCAGGGCCATTATGTGGCCATTCAAGCCCAGTAAAACTTCAAATTATTTTATTCAAAAGCTAATTTTCATCAATGAAATGGCCGATAACACAAATATAACTAATATTAAATTTGGATGTCCAAACATCCAAAGTAATTACCACTTTAGAATTAAGATTTGCTAACAAATAAATTAAATTTTGTTTATATGAATAAAAAATTTTTAAAGCATCAGTTCTTATAGTATTCCTATAAAATTTTTTATATTGTGGGTTTATAGAACTACGCAACCATTTTTCTAGCTTTGGATCTTCAACTAACATAAATGGTTGTTCTACTGTTCTACTTCTGCATGTACAATATACTTAGCAAGTTATTGTTTCATTTTTTCTTGCAAATATCTAAAAGTACCAAAACTAGTCCCCCTCCCAATCTGTGTTTGGGTTGTTTCTCTCCCTTCATCTTCCTCTCGCTCATGTGTGAGTAGATGTCTGTTCAAATGATTCGTACCACCATTGCTATAATAACTAAAGTCTTTCTTACATTTTTGGCAAACAACCATTTTCCCCTTCCCCTCAATATCCTTTACTTTGAAAACTTTTCAAACCGGGCTACTTAGCTTAGAAGCCCTCCTTTTTTCCCCTAGTATCACTACTATCGGGGGTAAAAGTTCCACTTCCATCAACATCAAATGCATCGGCATCAGTGTTAACACTAATACTATCGTGATGCGATTGAATGTCATCCATGGCGAACATGTTGGGGAATCGGTAACGGTTGAAGCCTTTCAACGTCCAAACCTCCCGAATTGAGATACTTGAGCTGGTTGAACAAACCTTCTTCTTGTTGAAAGTCGAAACTTCGATCAAGTTGAGACTTGAGAATTGAAGAATGCAAAATCAGACAATTAGCTAATCAGAATTTCTTAGACTGCAGATAATTGAGAATGTATGAGTATGAGTATGAGATAGATAGAGAGAGAGAGAGAGAGAGAGAGAGAAAGAGAGAGAATTAAGATAATTGTTGAATTGGTGTGATGAGAATGGTGGAGGATATGACTATTTATAGGAATTGAACATAATTCAATTGCCCAAAATACCCAAAAAACTATATATTATTTAGTTGTTGGGAGGGGTATTTTGGTCATTGTAAAGTTACTTATAACTTTACCCAAAATGCCTCATAAACTAGTTGTTATATAGTTATTGGGGGCATTTATGCCATTTTTTAAATCTCCCATAAGCAAAATATAGAACTACCCCCATAATATGACTGTTTATAGCTGTTGGGCCCCTTTAGGAGGGGGGCCCAACACTATATTCTCGGGCAGGCCGAGCGTGGCCCATTATGGGCATGGCGGGCCGTGCTTCGTGTCATGCCGGCCCAGCACGGCATGGACCTCCGTGCCAGGCCTGGCATGACCCGTTAACCATCATGCCATTGCCGCGGCCCGATTTACACCGAGTTCACTTTTAATATAGCAAAGGGCTAAAAAAACGAGGCCTTTGATTTATTGTTGTGGTCTCACCAAAATATCAGTTCATTTAATTAAAAACGGGGTTACATCTATAAATCAAAGGTTTTTATTCTATTGTTTCAACACAGCGTCATAGCAAATGTGGTTTGATTTATTGATGTTTGTTGCTACCTACCTATTAGGCAGTTGAAGCTGTCAACAGCAGGGTCTGATTTAGGATAGGATGGTCCACTTCCGACCGATTATTTCTTTATTAGTTTATTTTATGGATTTATCTCTTTCTTTATAATTAAAAATTTAATATTTATAGAGACATTTTAACTGTAAAAAGAAGATTAATCCTTAAAATAAAGAATGACAGACGCATCATTAATTGTCATGGGTCTGATCAAATTATAACAATTTAGAACTTTGATTTGATATAATATAAATATATAATTATGCATGTTAGGAGTTAGAAGTTCAATTTTTTATAATATAAACTTAATTAAAATGATAGTAAGTAAAAATGTAAAATAGTAAGAATCGGTCTCGACCCTGTTATTTATTGGAACACAAATCACATAATCAGAGTGGATATATTTGGTTCGG